CTTCAAAGCCTGAACATTATTATCACATGATGTGGATGAGTCATAATCCATCCAGCCATTCATTTTAATGGATTTTCACTTTGACTCTTCTTTTTGACCATGATTAACACTGCTGAAATAAATTTCACTCTTCATCCTTCTCTATATATTGGCACTTATTTTCCCTATTAAGACAATGACCCAAGTTTGGGATCACTGTTGAGATGGAATAGGTTTTGTTTTCAGTTGCTGCATTGCTTTCCCATATGACCATATACTTTATATTTTTGGTATCAACATAAGAAAGCACCCCTTTCATCAAATCTCTGCTAGTGACATATTATCTGAGATAGTCTTTCGCTTTTCTTTTTTTCTTTTCCCCCTGAGAAAACAAGTCACAGCAGAAGATAACCTAAAATACTATCTCAACTAGACCGCAACTTTACAGATTATCATGCATCATTACAATGCTTGGGGATTTTTGAATAATTACAGTTTTCTAGTGTAAAATTATTATGAAAATGACTTAATCCCATAGAAGTGGAGTAGCTTTTCAGTAATATTTCAGCTAAGACAGATACAATATTCGATTATGTTTTTGTTTTATTTTGCTGTATTTTTCTAAGATGGCTAAAAGCTTGGGAGAGTCTGTAGTGTTTGTATCAGGTATTGTCCCTGGTTGAATCAGTCACAGTAAGCTAATTTATATTGTGATTACTCTCAATCTCAAAATCTTAACAACTTTTAACATCAAGTGTTCAGTTCTTGCTATATATCCATTACAAGTTGGCTGGATTAGGAATAGTTTACTCCATGGCTATTTACCACCTGCTGAAGCATTGCTGGTGGTTGTGGCAGGGAGAGAGAAGGCTGAAAGTTGAACATGAGCCCTGAGGAACTTCTTCCCATCAATGACATATATTGTGCCCAATCACTTGGTAATTAGCAATATTGACTAACATATTTATTAGAATGATTTCTTGGAACACATATTAGACATTTCTCAACTTGTCATGGTTTAGCACATAGTATTTCAGTTGTCTTCCTGTTCTCTTAGTGATGACTTTACCAGTTTTGACTTACTTTGTAAGTGTGTTAACATCATTGGTTTTGAAAAAACCTTGGTAGTTAGCTTGGTCTATAGATTGGAGAGTTAAATGGTCAAATAGCTACACATTTGTATTTGTTATAATGCTCAGGTAGCTCATTGAAAGAATTGATAAATGGCATCAAAATATTGTGACAGTTTAATCAGCAGCATTAAAATAAATGGCATCAGTGTTTGTCGTATTTTCATTGTGATTGAAAACTAGCTGCAGCTGCTGATGATTGCCATTTGGATGCAGTTTAATTTCATCAGAGCACCCATATAGTACCTGAGAATATTTGCAGCTCTTGAATTGCTAAGGTAGTGCTTAGAGTTTGTGATTGTTATCTGAAACTATATAATTCATGGAAAAACCTTAGTAATTGAAAGGGGTTAGGAGATTATAAATGTACATCTTCATGAAGGCAGCAAGTAATTTTTGTCCACAGAAAAATAATCTTTTGGACAATCTCTGATATTGCAGCTTTGAGTAAATATCATTAAAATTCTGATCCCATATTGCTTGTTCTTTTCAGATGTCAGCTACATATGGATTCTGAATATCATCCAATCTGTTCTTCAAATATAAATGTAATTACTGGTCAGTGATTTGGATAATTTATACATCTGATGAAATCATGGAGGTTTTCTTAATTATTTTGACTTAGAGTTTGTCCCCTTAAGAAGGAGGATTTGAAACAATATTACTTTGAGTTAAGTCACTCCTACGCCTAATAATAGTCACATGTGTTTATTAAGTAGCCTTGCAGTGGATTTTTACTCACAAGTCCTAATCAGAAGCTTCAGATCCAAAACAGGGATTCCCTCCAAGAAAGGAATACTTTGTGTGCCTATCTCCTATATTGTTTGTGAAGGGCAAATGGAGGTTGTATACCAAGGGTATAAAATTTAAGCTCTAGATGGCTGGAATAAAGTTAATTTTTTTTGGTTATGAGGGATTATGAAAGTCATTAAAATAAACTTCCATTCAATTTTAAGACACCTGAGACATAGTTCTTAAACTTTTGCCTAAATGTAACCCATGTGCTTCCAATAATAATCTTATTTCTTATTTTCCGTTATCACTTGAAGACTTCTTAAATGAAGAGAAGGCAGTAAATATTATTTGTTAATACCTCTTTCTCCATAATACCTCCTTCTCCATATAGGACTATTACTAATACTGATATTATTATTCTACTACTCTTAATAAATAATTTATACACCAATATAATATGAGTACTGGTCAATAGTTTGGGATAATTTACACATTGGCTGAAGGCATATAGGTTTGCTTTGGTTTAGGGTTTGTAATCTCAATAAAGTGCAGGATTTTGAGCCAAATTATCCTGCGTGAGGTCAGCTTTGCTTCCGCTAATAGCCACATGTGCTATATGTTCTATATTTATCACCTCATTTATTTTTCAGAACAGATGTCTAAGGTAGGAGTGAGACATGGACATTTATTAAAGGAGAGGACCAAGATTTAGAAAACTTAAGAAAATTGTTCAACCAAAGAGGAGGGGGGAGAAGGAGAGATAATAGGGGAAGGGCCATCAAGGAATATGTATAAAAGACACATGGACAAAGCCAAAGAGGTAGGTAGGTTCAAGGGTGGGAGGCAGAGATAGGTGTGGTGGGGTGAAAATGGAGACAACTGTGCTGGAACAGCAATAAAAAATAAAGGAAAATTGTTCAAGTCACTGATATTTTAAATTTATACTGCCTGATTATGAAGCCCATATTTTTAAATACCCTGATATATATTTCTTTCTTCTTCCCTGCCAAATTATATTTTCTATCAGCACTCTCACCTGTAATATAAATCTCAGATAGTGGTAAAATGATTAATTAAATACTGTAACTGTTAAACATTTGCCAAATCACTAAAATCAAAATAGAATATCAATGAAATTTTCTGGATATTAACATTGTTTTCTCATTGTGCACACCAAGATTCTAAATCTAGGACTTCATAATTAATCAGACAATTATTTCAGAAGTTCTTATGTTTGCTGCATTTCCTCTTATGTAATTATCCCATAGCATGCTGGAACACATGGGCACTAGTCCAGCTTTCACATTCTTAGTAGAATGATCAATTGAAATAGCAATTTGGCATACAGTGGACAATATTCTGTTTCCTCCAACATGTGGATGAAACATGGTTCTGTGAAGGTTATACTATCACATAGGCTGGTAGTTTAAAATGTTTATCATTAAAAATATTTTTAACTGGGTTATTAATAATTTTGTCCTATTGTTGGACCCATTGTTGCTGCTGATATTATTTTGGAAGTCTCTGTGATGTGTTCAAATTAAAATTCCTTCTTGAGCCCTCAGGCACAAGATAGTTATTACTGCCATGCTTTTTGGGAAAGAATTGCCAGATGATATGCATAGTGAGATGTGTTCACTTATCAACTAAAAGGAATTTTGTTTTCCTTTCCTTTCACTGGTGGATTTGTGTGTTGAGGCAGATAGAATAAGAGAGATTCTATCAAGATTATTTCATTGATCACAAAATGCATTTTTATATCAGTAAAGACCCAAAATTGAAGCCTTTCAATCAGTCAGTTGGCTGTCACTAAAATGGTGTCTAGTATATTTATCAGTCTCTTAAGCATGAAAAATGTTATCTCGGACACAAACCAGTTTTGAGGTAGCAAAAAGAGATTATTAAATAGATGAAAAATTTTTGTTGAAAATACAGATTTAAAAGTTTCAATACTGAGAAATGTGATTTCCAAATGATAATTTGATACTGATATGATAGAGAAAGAAACAACAATTAATAATTAAAAGTAATACTGTAAATAATGCTGCTATGAACATTGGGGTGCATAGGTTCTTTTGAGTTGCTGTTTCAGGTTTCTTAGGGTATAATCCCAGCAGTGGAATAACTGTATCAAAGGAAAGTTCCATGTTTAGTTTTTTGAGGAAATTCCATAAAATTTTTAGAGTGGCAGCACCAGTCTGCATTCCCACCAACAATGCACTAGCATTCCCCTTTCTTCACATCCTTGCCAGTACTTGTTTTTTGATTTGTTAATGATGGCCATTCTGACTGGTGTGAAGTGGTATCTCATTGTGGTTTTAATTTGTATGTCTCTGATAGCTACTGACATTGAACATCTTTTCATATGTCTCTGGGCCCTCTGTGTGTCCTCCTTGGAGAAGTATCTGTTAAGGTCTTTTGCCCATTTTTCAATTGGATTGTTTGTCTTCTTAGAGTGACGTCATGGTAGTACTTTATATATTTTGGAGATCAAACCCTTTTTGGAGGTATCGTTTGCACCATTGTTTATAATCACAAAGTGCTGGAAACAGCCTGAGTGCCTTTCAGTAAATTAATGGATAAAAAAATTGTGGTAAATTTACACAATAGAATACTACACAGCAGAATGAAGGAACTCCTATTCCTCACAATGGCATGGATGGAACTGGGGAGGATCATGCTAAGTGAAATAAGACAGGTGGTGAAAGACAAATACCATGCGATTTCACCTATAAGTGTAATCTAATCAGCAAAAGAAATTAGCAAAATAGAACCAGAGACATGGAAATAAGGGACAAACTGACTGTAACCAGAGGGGAGGAGAGAGGGGCATAATGGGAGAAAGTAGGGGATGGGGCAAGTCAAGGAACATATATAAATGCCCCATGGGCAAGGATAACATGGTGAGAATTGACTGAGGGAGCAACAGGGGCATGGGTGGGGCAGGGGAGAACAATGGGGGAGAATGTGGGACAACTGTAACTGAAGAACAATAAAAAAGCAATACAAATATATGCATTAAATAAAGAGAAATTGATGGCTGGCAAATAAAACTCTTAGCTCGTCAACTATTTTTCTGTAATAAGAAAGTTTTTTAAAAGTTTTCCTAATATGTGGGGTCTTTGGTTTGTGTGTTTTACATGTTTCCTGATCCAGATTTATATTTTTGAAAACAATATCTACTATCAACCTGATATAAAGAGCAGTTCATTGAGACTGACATCTTCTGGGAAAGAAGGAATTATTTTCAATGGAATTGCTGACTGGTTATATGAAGGTGAGTTGAATAGATTTAGTTTCAAAATAATGCAAATGTCATATTTGAATACAATATCTCTAAGAAAAATCTGTTCATTTTAAAACAACACATATAGCACTATTTCTCTACATTTCCTTTCAACATTTCCTTCGTGCTTTCATATCTTTGCATATAGTCATATTTATACTTGTTGTGATTTATATCTACTTATATGATTTCACATTTGACATTGTGTGTGTGTGTATAAAAATATGAAAGTGAACGATTACCTTGTATCACTCAGGAATTAGATGTTGAATTTTTCTGATTTCTGGAAAAGAAGAAACAAAAACCTCTACTGCTCAATAAAGCCACTTGATTTTAATCATTCCTGTTAAGAATATTATGTCACATTTGGAAAGCCATTGCATATGGAGGAAAATAAAACCTACCTAAAGAGCTCTTTGCAATAACTATTGAATTAAGTTTTAATAATAACTTAGAATATAAAAAGAAATTAGATGAGGAAAACTTCTGTCCAGTTTAATTATGTACCAATTATCAGCTGAGTTATAGGTACCGATTTCCTGGGGAAACTCAAAGCTTGACTTTAATACTTAGATTTCAGGCTCTGAAACTGATTTTGGCAAAATATGTCAAGATTTAAACTAAGTTAGTCTATTTTATTAGAAATGATTAGGCTAAGTATCACTCAGAAAATTTATTTTCTGGAGCAACATTGGCAAATGCAATTTCTCTGCCTCAGAGTCAATATTTTTAATTCTGTAAAGAAGTAAATTATTTAGCTCATTTATTTATTTATTTATTCTTTCATTCAACAGATATCATTAAAGATCTGCTATGTTCTAAATACTTTTCTGGGTCTTAGATACATCAGGGAACAAAATAAATTACTGCTCTCGGAACCTTACATTAAGAGACAAATTTTGCTGGATGGAGCTTTTTTATCAAGAAAGTAACGTTGTGTGTGGCCCTTGATATTTATATGTGTATGTTTGCATGTATGTTTATATCTGTAAGATATTTTTGTGGATATGCCAGCATCAAATAATAGGAGATTTGAGAGGCTACAGTTTATCCCAAGGTCCAGTGGTAGCTACTGTGAAAATAACTATTTTTATGCTATGGAAATTTTTTTTAAAAATTGAAATACCAAAGTGGATAGATAGGGTTCTTTGTTTAAAAGTGTCAGAAGCTAATTCTAGCTTTCTTATTTCAAAAAGATAATTTATTTAAAGGACCTGGGGTGGCCCAGTAAATTGAAGAAACAACCGGAGAACAAATATAAAACTTGAATATTTCTGGTAAACTAGGTAGCCAGAGCAAACCATATCTTAACTACAGGAACTAGGTAAGATATGCCCTTTATCTTTAAAATTTTTGGACTATGTGAGACTCTGACAGACAAAAAAAGAAGATCAATTCAGTGTTTTAAGTAGTCAAATCACAGTATGCACAAAATTCTATGAAAGAACAAAGGGGAGAAATTTATCTCATCCTTAGGGATTGGCAACTATTTCCTAAAAGAGAAACCCTCTGAGTTGAGTCTAAAATATTAAGTTGGACACATAAGAAGTAACTAGGAAGAAAAATGTAAGCAAGAGTTAAAAGCTTGTAAAAACACAGTAGGGTTAAATAGCATAGTGAGTGCCTAGGGAACTGAAATCTGCTTGTTATTATTGAGGCATAACACTTAAAGAAAAAGAAGGCAACAAGAAACAAGGTATAGTGACCCTAAAAATAATCTGAGATTTCAATTATTTTTTTCTAGTAAATGGGAGGACTAATAGAGCTTTTCAAGTAAGGGAGTGTGTCAATTCTTTCATATAAATAGATCAGTTGGCTACAGTGAAGCTGGGATTGAATAGCAGAAAGAACTAGTGAGTATCCATAAGGTGTTGTTTCTTATTTTTTTATTATTTATTCTATTAAAGTTGTCCCAACTTCTTTCCCTTTGCCCCCTCTACCCAATCCACCCCTCTAGCCCATGATCAATCCCCTCTTCATTGTCCATGGTCATAGGTCATTCATATTTGTCCTTTGACTAGTTCCTTCCCCTTCCTACTTCCCATTACCCCCTCCCTTCTACCTTCATACAATTATAGGTCTGTTCCATGTTTCTATAACTCTGCTTCTATTTTTCTCAGTAGTTTATTTTGTTCAATATTCCAGTTATAAGTGAGGTCATATGGTATTTGTCTTTCCTCTACTGACCTATTTCACTTAGCATTGTAGTTTCCAGTTCCATCCATGCTGACACAAAAGTTTTTATGTTCTGTAAAGAGTTAATGAGCAATAGGACTATGGTTAAAACAGGAAGAAGGAGGGAAGATTCTAAAACTGATGAGCCAGTAAAATAGATAGATTTTTGTGGTTAAATAGTTTGGGAAGATGGAAGACAAGAATAACTCCTTGGCTTCTGGTTTGGATAACTAGTAAACAGTGGTGACAAAAACAGTGAGCAGGCATTCTTTAGGACTAGTGGACTTCAGAGAGGAGAGGAGTAGTTTAGAAAGAACATTGATGCTTCTTGGTGTGCTGCCATTCTACATTGTCTGACAAATAGTGATCCCTGACACTAAAGAACTTTTGGTCAAATGGGGATATACTCAATGTAAACTGTACTGACTTGACCAATGACCAAGATGGCTTGGGCCTCTGTCCTTTAGGGAAAGCTTCATATAGCATATGGTATTACATTTTTAAAAAATTTATAAAGACAAAGAGACCATTTTCTGATGAATTATGTTTTTTTTTCTTAATTAGAAAATAAAAATGTATGTATCTGGGCTAAGAGTGAAAATTGCATTGGTGGATAGAGAGGACAAACAGGTAACAGAAACTTTTGTGATGATATGTGCAGGTCTGGCACATTCCAAAGGGGAAGTGGAAAAATTATAGTTTTTGCCATTCAAATTAAATTCAATCCTTTGGGCTTTTATGTTTTAGGTATACTAGGAAACTAGATGTACTATGTGATTTAACCTTACCTTGCTAATATATCTAATCATTTACTGAAGAAACCCAGATAATGGAGGATACACAGATCATGGAGGAAACCCAGATCATGGACAGAGCCCCAGAACTCATGAGAAGCAGAGCTCACACTTGAATGTGTGTCTTCAAAATCAGGGCTTAGTCCTAGTTAGCTATACTTGTCACAGGACAGTGCCTTTCATTGTTCCCTAAAGGATGACATACATTATGCACCTAAGATGTTGGATTTCATTGGTCTCTTTACTCAGCCAAAGACTCTGAAACCTACTATCCATGGATTTAAGTCAATTTGCTTTAGTTCTAAGATAAGGGACCCTACCACAGGAATCAATGATAAGGTATGGTAGAGGAATTTAGGAATATATTTTAGGACCTCAAATTCCTGTCATTGTTTTCACCTCAACATTTTGCCTGTCATCCCAACCTATGCTTCAAGAGTCTCCCACTATCATTTGCTTGTCCTGTGTGCCAAGAGCATCCAGAATCCAGTGCTTCTCTTTTCCTCTAAAGTACTCAACAAAACACAGTGATTTCTACGAGGAATGCATCTGATCTTCAACAGTATGTGTGTGATAATCTAGTGTGGAGATTTCCTTTTTATTACATTATAGAAATCAATTACAATCTGAATTAGTATATGTAGGAGACTCCAGAAGTAATATATAACAATTCAACTTACTTTTTTCATTGAAATTTGCCTTCTGTAAATGTCATAGAAGAGGAAAAATAGATAAGGAATCACATAAAAAGATAAAATGTTTTTGTGGCAAATTTTAAGGGCATAACTTAATCTTTGAGGACCTCACCAATCTGTAATTGTGTAACCACAGTCACTAATGTCAAGGCTTTAAAAGTCTTTAAAAGTGTTATTTAAAAATCTTAAAGCCCTTTTTCTTTTATTTTTAGTATTTCGTTCTTAAGGGAAGGAAAACAAATAAAATATAGTGTCTTTTAAGAGTTAGTGACGTTCAGAAGAAAAACAAAGCATTATTCTCAAAATTAAACATTATTTTAAATGTAATTCACATAAAGTACATCTAATGCTATTTATATAAATTAGTGTATTTAGCATGGTAACTTAACTGAATAAAGTATCTGATTAGTGTTTTCTTAAAAAGTGTAAAATTCACATTTTTGTTTACAACTTTAAATTTTTCCATAGTATTGAATATATAAGTAGAAACAAAAAACGACTTTCACTTTCAACCATTTAAACATAAATAGAACCACATGTCAGCATAATAAATAAAAGTATGAACAGAATTGAGTCTGGTGACATAGGGAAATATAGGTGGCATCATAGAGGAAATGATCATTGTGCTGAGCTTTAAGAATGACAGGGACAGACACTTGAGAGAAAAAAATTTCAGGGAAAAAAACAGTATCTTTATCCACAAAATATGATTGTTACTTTTTTATTGTTTAATGAGAAAATGGAAAGTGCCCATTTTCACCATTTATTTTGCCTTCTTTTGGACACAGAGTCATATTTATTTATTCACTGATTCAACAAAGATTTATTGAGTACTTACTAAATTCCAGTAAAACTGCACTGTGACAGATAAACAAAAAAATTTAGAGATGCACCTGTTGAAGCCAGAGGAAGACAGGATAATGGGCATTGCTGAATCTTTGGAGGGCAAACAAGCTAAGGACACTAAAGTTACCTTTGGATCTGCTACTAGAACTTGACAACAGCAAAATCAGTCAATTGTTTACCAGAAAGAAGATTGCAGTGGATGGAGGTATAAATAGGAAGTGAGAAAGTTGTGAATATAAAAAATTATTTCAAGAAAATTGACTGAGATACTAAAAATTAAAGAAAAATAATCAACCACAGTTCCACAGAGATGGCAATAAGATCCTCAGGAAATCCTGTCTAAGTTGATAAGGAAGAAGTAGATAAAATCAGCTTCCTTTTCAGAACACAGTGGTTATATATTAGTTTTTTTTTTTCTAAATGCTTTCTGTTGAGGCTGTTTTTAAGTGTCTGTGATATAAAACAACATGTGTTGAAAATTCCATCTGCTTTGCAGTGAGATTTTGCAAATCTGTGTAATAAAGACAATGAACAACCCAACCTACATTAAAATAGAATTCTTAAAAATACTTTGTTTATAAATAATATAATATAATCAACACAGGAAATTTCAACCCAGGAGTAAAATTTGTGACTTATACAACAGGACTCTTAAGAAAATGCATTTTTAATGTTATTTTATTCATATTCTTTCCATTTCAGTTAGCTTTGTTTTTGTACCTGGAGGAAGTCAAATAACTGTTTATTTGCACTATTTTAACATTGTTATGAGGAACAACTTTAGTCATAGATTACTCCAAATAAATGAGAGTAGATAATACAAAGTTTTGAATGAATGATGCTCTAGAACCTGGGCCATTCTAATTCCTGAGAAGTATTTGTGCACACAACTACAGCACCCAGGATGGAACCCTCATTGCTTCTTAAAAACCCTAAGTGTTGATTCAGATAACACGATTTTCATTTTCATATACCTTCAAGTCCCATAAGACTTGGAATTTACACTCAATTGACATTTAACTCTTTTTTTCATGTGGATGACTCATGTCTCCTCATCTGAATTGTAAGTTACTTGTATGAATTAGGGTAAAGACCACAACTGGAAAAAAAGATGGCACGTTCAAAGTAGTATTCAAAGTTTTATCCATGAAGGGCACTTGATAAATAGGGATATGCAGCATCCCATGGCTAACAATGGCTTAGCCATTAATACCTGAGGCGGGAAGGGGAAGCAGCTATTACCAGAACCTAGGAGGAGAAAATTCTATAGTTTTCATAGTAATAAGAGCAGTGAGCATTGGTTGGGAGACCCAGCCAGGCCTACATGAATTTAATGGGTAGCCAAATAATAAACAACATGCACTAACTTTTTTCTCTTATTTGATTTATTTACTTTCATGATAGCTATACCTAGCAAAAAGGCAGTTATAACTTTTAGTATATCAGCCAATTAATAAACTTTTTTATTAAATAAAAAGTTTATGTCCCCCCAAAAGGAGCACACAAGGTCCCTTCCGCTATTGTTTCACTGTAGAGTGGTATTAGTCCAGTTATATACACCTGCTTGAAATTTGTAACTACAGCCAATGCTCTCACTTTTTATATAAGGTTTTGGGGAAAATTCTCCAATTAAGAAAAGAAATAAGCATTATCATGTGACCTTAATTGGTAATCAGGCATTTCTTTATTTTATTCCTTTACCATCTGCCAGCATTTTGACTACACAGATTATTTACCCAGTGGAACAAACCAAAACTTTATTTCTGCCAAACCGTATTCTTTTGTTTCTTTTTTCTTAATGGGGATGCTACAATATCCATTGTCTATTGAAATGGAAATTGCAATATAGAAATGTGAAGTTGCAAAGTGAGATGGAACTGAACACAAGAATATTTGTGTATTAGCTGAGTTCCAAATACAGTCTTCCTTGTCCTCCTTATAGAAGAAAGAATCATTTTCTTCCTGGCAGATGAGATTAACTATCAAGCCCAGCCCAGTGACTATGCTTTCTGTCAGTTAATTTTTTTCTCAGTCATGTTGAGCCGAAAATGGTCAGGAGGAAATTTCAGCTTCCAGTTCAGAGAAACATAATTACGACTATATTCTTTGTAGGAGATAATCCTCCTGTAGACATTAGAACTTCTAAACCCTCCAAACTCATTATAATGAGTACAAAAACCAAAATGTATGCAGTGGGTCATTGATGTGATATTGAGAGAGAGCATTATACTTCCATTACTTAGTTCCTGGTTATGCAGGAGGGACACTTGCATGCTATAAGATGACTACCCAGCTATAAGGTCATTGTAAAAAAAAAAGTGCCAAAAGCAGAAAGAGCATGCTTTGTCACTTTTCTAACAAGCCAAGTTCATCTGGCCAATGGGGAACCTGATGAGAACAGTGAATACCAAAAGTCTGAACCCACTACACTTCTTTTTGCTATAACGTATTTATTGTTTGGAAGTCACATAATGTGGGTTATCATAATAACAGATAAGTTATTCTGTGAGTATATGAATACCAGTGCCGATAAAGCTGCAGGTGGCAAAGGCATAGCAAAACCTAGAATATGTGTCTATGTCAGTAATAACTAAATGCTACCTTTCCTGATAGAAGCCAGCTTCCCATGTTACAGCCATGTAAGCCAGTGGCCACCAGATAGTCAGCTGGAACTGCTGGGAAATGATGCCGTATCAACAGTTTAGTGACAACTACTATTATTAGCAGGTAATGGTGGCAGCCAAAGACAAACTGACATGCACTTGCTAGACACCTTGTTTATAGGATTATGGAGTACACCTTCTGCTGTGGATGTGCTCTGATGGACATTAAAAAGAACACTTTTACTTCACATTTTTACCTCTTCTGATAAGTCTGTTCACTTATTTTTCCCTAAACTTTCTTTTTACTGATTTTCTAATGTTACTTTTCTCAGATCCCTAATCAGGTGGCCATTTATTAGATATTGTTCATAAGTCAGAGATCCATTCTTCAAGCCAAATCTCCTTCCACACATAGCCTACACACAGTTCAAAGGATTGCCAACTCAGAAGATTTATGTTTTTATATTTGGCTTGTAATCCATTACTGAATCAGACTGCAGTGTACAGCCTACCCAACTCCAGTGTGTTTCAAGTACGTTGTGCAAACCTATCCACATACCCGACCTGCAGTGTTTTCCTCCTCTGCCAGTTTATGTTAGAAACACATCTTGAAGCATAGACATGAGGTAAGAAGGGAGGATAAAGCTGTGGATGTAATGTCATGGGCATTGACTAATGTGTTCTGGACCAATCCCATATGTACCACTTCTATATTATAGTGGAATGTTGCTGCTTTTGTTTAGTTTTATGGTATGAATCAGATAATAATCAGCTCATGATGGGCAGTTTGGGTTGCATAGTCACTTGCTATCCTATGGTCAGGCTAATTACTTTCACCAGAGCCCTATAGAGAGCTGCTTTAGAAATAGAGACTATTTATCGTCACAGGAGAACTTGGCTTTTCTGTGAAGCTTTTAATGCCTATGCTTTGATTATGATATAGTGAGAGTCAAAAGCTCCAAAGCATCTCTCTTTGCCTTGGATACTTGCATTGCCATGGTGTCTGCTAAGTCACAAGGTAAAGATGGTAGGGAATGTTGTGCCATGACCTTTTCCAGCTCTATAGCTCTCTCTTGCTCAAGTTCTACCAGAACTGGCCATTTTACAGTTTACCTGGGAAATAGAACAAGGAAGCACATGTGAATGTGGTTTATATTTTCTTCAAAGTCCAAAATTCAGTCCCTCTTTACTTTTGCATAAGTACAGTTCCAACCAACTTTCTCTCACTTTCGAAAACATAGCCCAGTATATCCCAGTCTACTTCTCTAAGGATGCTGACTATTAAACTTTACAGGGATTCTTCTTCCACTCTGCCTTAATGCCTTTATACATAGAGGTTGCCTCTGTTAACAAGGAGACTTGTGGGAATTTTTGAGGTTCAAAATCTTCAGCCATAAAATTAGACACATGTAGCAGTATTCCACTATGAAATGTGGTATTTATGAGACTGACTCAGAAAGTATAATGTACATGTTTACACAAGCATCCTTATGGTATGTGTTGGGGTCTTAACACTTCTCCACCAATATTTGTGTATTAACTTTAAAAATCAAGTACAATCGAGTCCCTGATTTGTATTGCATTCTGCAACCCTTACTATGCTCTCTTGGACCTCAGCCATACCTTTCCTACAAGTACAGAAAGAAGGGGCTCTTTCAAAGATGTCTTAATGACCTTTTGTGTATTCCTAATTTTGCAGTAATAATATTAATTTTTTTATTTTTCCTATGTAATCTCTCTGAGGTGTCACAAGAACCATGTAAACTTTATAATCTTTACAGTTGCCGTTGTTTTAGCAACTAAATGTCACAACCACTTGTCCCCAACAATGCCTTACCTCTCTATTTGCATTTCATTGTATATCATTAACAGTGACAACTGATTACTCATGGTTCCACCCCTTGCTATGAATTGTCTATGCTCTCATACTTCCCCAGAAAGGTTATTATTAAATCAAACATATAGATATAGTTATAGAGATGGATATATCTCCCACTTAATCTTAAAATATAATTTTGAAATTATATTTCCTGAGTATCTTTTGATATTAATCACTACATTAGTTAGGGTCCCAAAAGGAAAGAGATGGCACTTTCAATAATTTAGAAAGTATTTACAAAGAGACCATTTACAAAATTGAAATTGTAGGGGAAATATAAAGGACAGAGCTACCACCTGGACTAGTAGCAGCCTATGGCCATAGAATTGAACCATTAGCAGATACAAAAGGAGAACGTTGTGGAGAGGTGGTTGTGTTGTCAAGAGTAGTGACATCATTTAAAGCACACAGCAAGACTAAATGCAAATATGAATGAATTGTAACATGGATATGGTTTTGTGCTGTATTTCAGCCTTCAATTACTGTCATCATTCTTTTTACTCTGATAGTACTTTCATTGCCCCTGTTCACATTGCTGACAAGACATGATATCTTAACTTCCTTCCTTCCTTTGCATATGCTTTTCCTGGTGTTAGAGGAGTAACTCAGAAATAGAGAATTCTTCATGAAGTTGATAAAAATCCACACACTGTATAAATATATGTTTATGTAAAATGGATATTTCAAGGACAGATGTATGTGGGTCACTGAGCCCACATATCTACAGTGGGTTTCAAATAACACTCATTTATTCTAGAAGAACTTCTTCATTCTCACATCGCCCACTGGTGGTCACCAGATGGAGAAAGACTTGCCTTCCTGATGATAAATGATTCATTGGTGCCTAACATGGTTATTCCTCGGTTTACTGGAGCATTGTATCCCAAAGGAAAACAGTATCCGTATCCTAAGGTAAGTAACATGGTAGTGCTAGGTTGTTGCCCTTCTCTCTGCACCAGTGACTTGACTGATCATATTTTTGGCTCACAAACAAGTTGTCTTTGGAGAATACAAGAAGCTCCCCTTGTCCACAGAGTCATCATTTTAGAGCTCACAGTAGTCTGTACAGAGTACTTGGGTAGGAGGATATGAATAAAATTCAGGGTGTAGGAACTTTTGTTTTTCTGCATTTCTTTTCCCTTGATGTTCTCATTCTTGTTTTCCCTCACCTCTCTGCATGAAAGATTGTGAGAATAGAGAGGGTGCAGCACTAATGCCAGGGCAAGGGCTTCTTCTCCAAGGTACTCTCTGTGAGTGGTCAATAGATGTGATAGAGAGGAAAAAGTACCATGGTCAAATACATTGGAAATGCTTAGTTGAAAAAAAAATCTAGCTTCTTTCAGATGATTTCTTAGAGCACTTAATGTACTATATCTTAATGTACATTATAAATCTCCTGTAAAAAAGTAGAATAAGCATAAAGAATCTCCAGAAGCATAGTCACCAATAAAGAATAGACTAAGCATAAAGGATTTATTAATATTAACTTCAGTACTGTTTTGGCAGAGCAGACTCTGGAACATACTTTATAAAACGCTGGAGTAGAGTCATGGCTAGGCATAGCTAGAATAGATGGAATTGTTTTACTAAGTGAAGCAAATATGGAAATCCTGCCAAGAGAGCATAACTATTTTCAAGTGTTGGGTGAGGCTTCTGGAGCAGGTTGCAAAAACACCTGAAGAGTATTGATTTTTCTAGTATATATTATGCTTAATTACTTAAGGACTTTTATTAAAGTTTATTTTCCCCATGTTTGTTTAAGAAAGAAAAAGCCTCATAAGGGACAGCCCCTATGCATTAAGCATGTAAAGATATCTTATAGCAAATATTTTAATTCTACTTTACACATTTTACCTCTTAACTAGACAAGACATGGCCACTGATTTCTTTTAGAAGCTATTTTTAAGCCATTTCTTTAGTGAGTTATATTTTGTATTTCCCAGCATGATAGATTTTATACTTTTCAACTTGTGCATTACATTAGCTGGACAAAGCACTGGAAAAATTATCTATAACACATATTACTTTACACCTGCAATGAAGGTGTATTCAGGATGGAGGTGACATCCCTTTTTCTGTCATCGGCCAGACTCAAGTTTTCCATGGTCAGAAAAGAAATATGGCTTAAATGTGGAGAGTGAAGAATAAGAAGAGTGTTTCCTCAGTGAGACTCTGTGCTGTGTTTTTTTCTCCATCCTATCTTCCTTCCATAGGGTGTATCATTAAATAACTGAGTGACACCTAAGGAGAACAGCAAGAGCGAGAGGGACCAGATCCCAGAATTTTGAAATATTATTTTAGGGTCTTCTCTGAACAGGGATTGGAAATCACATATACTCAGTGCTCTTCGGCAGAAAACAGCAATTGGACCTAACAACAAAATGAACATATTCACTAAGAGATTTTTATTGTACTCCAAAAGAAGTACTTGAGAATTTTCCAGTTATAGATTTAGCCATGTTTTGTGACTCAGTTTGTGCCCACACAGCATGCTTGCACCTGCTTTTTTCCAAAGAAAAATTGAAAAGACTTCTCAATACATTAATTCTCACACAATCTGATTTACTTATTATGCTGAAAGATCATCTGATAATTTAGACATAAAATAGTGACTAGTGGCTTATTTGTGGCATATTGTAAAAAGTTTATGTCAGTACATAAGGTATTCAGGCAGAATGGTCCATTGTGTGCCCTGGCAAAGAGAATCAAATCGGCTCCTGAGAAGGAACAGTTTTGTAATTCATTTTCCCCAAAAAGTGGGCTATTTTAAGATTCACACATAAGAGCTATATGCAATAGCTGCATTTTTAAATTGCCTTCTCAGTTGTGGACCTTTGATGCTTGAACTTGGACTTTCCTAGGGCTCATAATTTTAACAAGACTGATGCAAACAAATGAACAAAGAGAAGCACCTGAAGAAATTTAAATATATCAGCAGTAATTCAGAAGTTATGAAGATGACAGACCTAGACACTTTATTATCATTTAGTTATCTAATATTTATTAATAGTAAAGTTAAGCATAAAGTAATACTAATGTTTATTAATTATATAAATCATATGTGCTATTAATATACTTTATGCTTTCAGAGAGATTTTTCATTTTTTTTCCTTTTTTAATCTTTTTCACAATTGGCTCTATTTTACCAATGAAGAAACTGAGCTTCTAAAAAGCCAAGCCCTTTGATGAAAGTCACAGTTACTTTAAGAACAGTGAAATGACTCAAATATATTGATTCTGTCCCACTCTATAAAACTACAAAAGGTCAACATATCACAGACGACATACCTGGAATCAAAATATCCCCTTGTCAAGTTAACAAATAGGTGCAGAGCTCTCTCTCCATTTACTATTTTTGACTTAGCTGTGTGCAGGGTGGGACAAAAGTAGGTTTACTGTTGTGAATATGCAAAACACAGAGTTTATTCTTATATTATTATTTATTATTGTATTATTTTTTATCTGAACAACTAACTATAAACCTACTTTTTCCTCATCCAATGTGTATAGTATTCTTAGAAAGCCTTACACCTGCCATATATATGTATTTATATGTTCAAATGTAATAAGTGATATCTATAATATATGAATATATTTAATACATAGTGAAGGTCCTGAGTGTGTTTTAATGACTACAATTTAGGATTATTAAAAATCAAAAGATATTCTAATGGCCAAAGCTGAGAGAAAGAATCCCAAGTCCTCAAGAGGTTGTCAGTAGGAATACCTGCCTAAGTAATTAAGATAATAGGCCTCAAAGAAACTAGGTCTGAGGTTTTTTTCCTTGTTCTCATATTAAATTTCAGTATTATGTGGGGTGTACTACTTGAATTTTCTAACTCTAATTTTCTACTCAGGTTTTTTTTAAAGTGTTTTTTTTTTCACTAACAGATATATTATTTTAATTTGCTCTTATGCAATAAACTTTCAAAAGTGGTACTTTAGACATTGAAGTAATGCATAGAGTTCACACTAAATTGTGCTTCAAATTAAACCAGATTAAATGAGTACAGAAAATACCCAATATAGTCAGATTTACTAATGAAATACTTACACTAAACACATGTATTTTTATTTTACTTAATTCAGCATGATTCAGAACTCATAAAATACTCTTCATTAGCAATTCAGCACAAAAGAGATGTGCAGTTCTATCTCAGTAACCTCAGGTTAATGTTCTTAATTAAAACATTATCTTGTTTAATGACAACTTAGTTGCCAGTAAAATAAGGTTAATTATTATTGAGGCTTGTGTTTCAGAATCATAGAGGGAAAGATTCTGGGAATTTGCAGTCTTTGTCACAAATGTGACTGTAAAAAGCACATAGATAAACTCCTCTAATTTCCAACCTATTGAAACAATTCAAATATTAAAAGGTATAGATGAACTTGCAATGGAAACTTAATTTCTAAACTCCATGGATAGATAAAAAATCTTAGATTATAAGATAAATGCTAAAACAGCTGAATTTTGGAAACAGCCTGATGTTTGGCTTTCATCTAAAATTGGCCACATAGGTACACAACTTTTTATTTGTTTTCATATAGAAGCTAATTGGGATATCATTGATTCTTTGCAAGGAAAAGCTTACAGTGCTAAAGACATGAAAAAAAAATGCCTTAACTTGTGGTAATAACCATATATGTCTGACAAAGTGTGTCATAAAATTATATAGCATTGATAAGAAATCACAAAAAGATCAAATTTAATTTCTTTTTTCTTTAATGAGTTTATTGAAAGAGATATATAAACATAGTTTTTCACTAACTAGAAAAGTTGGTATTTTAATAATGACTTTTTTAAATTAACTACCATATACTATTTAGGTACTTTTATAAATCATTTTTTGTTAGTTCACATAGCAAAACAATGAGATATTTTTATCTACAGAAAAAAAATCTACTTTGACTCAAAACTTCTGACTTCTGATTTTATTCTTAGAGTTTTGTCTCACTTTTGATAACCAAGTAAAATAATCCTTGAGGACCATTAACATCTTGCCCATGGTCTATCTCCAGTAAATAACAGTCAATTTGAAGCCAAAGTTCTCTGACTCACAGATAGAGCTAGACCATTTCTCAAAATGTGGTTCTTTTACCAGTGGCATCAACCTCATTTGGGGATTTTTTAGAAATGCAAATTTCTTCTGCCCCTTGGAGGAGGGCCACCTCAGCAGTCTGTGGTCAAACAAGCCCTTCAGGCTCACTGGTGATTCTGAAATGCATTAACCTTGGATAACCACTGAACTGTTATATGTGGGTTTTAATGAGATTCCTGCATATGTATAATCAATATGCACATTTTGATAAAAATACTAATATTTATATATTGATATTTACATATCAATTTTTATTAAAATTTGCATATTGGTTATAGTTTTCTGAATCTTGTTAAAATTGATTTCTTAGGCTCACACCCTGAGATTCTGATTATGGATCTGAATACAGGCCTGGGTGGGGCACACAAATTTGAGTGCCTAATATTCCAAAGGATACCTACTGATGCTCTTGGTTACAGAACAACATATTGGATGGAGCTACTAAATACTATGTCCCAGCTCTAAGTTTTAACATACCTGATCAAGCTAAAGAAATGGTTAGATTAAAAATATATGAATAAGACCAACATTTTCAGGGAGGAAAATTTCAATTTAAAAAATCAAAAGTGATATGAAAGACAGCTGCTAAGTGTGGTAGAACACTACTCACAATTGCCCAAGACAGATACTTCCAGACACTAGAGGGTTTTAGAGCAACAATTCAGCTTTATAAAATCTGACACAGAAGCTTTCTTTGTGAGGCATGGGTTCACAATTTACCTTCCAGGAAGCCCTTTACTACAGGAACCATTTCCATGATCTCTCCTAAATCACTAGTCACTGCATTTCTGCAGTGACAGCCTTTCTTGACTTCTTTCTTTGACTCAAACTTCAGACTTGTGTTTGAAATACTCCCACAGGTGCACTAATTATTTTTCTTTATAGGCTTAAAAAAAGCTGCTTAATATTCACAACAAAATTGAGGAGATAGCAGATATTTGCCATAAAGTTCCAGCTCCCCACATTTATAGCCACTCCCATTATCAACATCCCCCACCAGAACTGTACATTTGGTTCAACTGATGGAGCACTTACAGACACACGATAGTGACCAAACATCCATAATTACATAATGGTTTGTTTTTGGTGCTGTACATTCCATGGGTTTTGGACAAATATAGAATGTCATGTATCCTTCTTCATGATAATGTACAGAGTGTTTTCACTGTCCTACAAATTCTCTTACTCCATTTATTTACCCTTCTTCCCTTCCTTTCTTGCTAGTTATTATTAATAACCTAACAAAACAGTTCTTGAGTTATTACTGACTATTGAAGGAATGAAATATATTACTTCTTGTCCTGATTTAACTCTGGGTGTTGTTGATGCCAATTCCTTGAACATGGATTTTTCTTTGTCATCATTAAATCAGTTTTATTGTTCTTTTTAGACTTTTGTCAGGTTTTTTAATTCAAATCACTTTTAATTCAATTTCCTCATTCTCCTCTGTATAGCTCATATGATCTGCCACGACACAATGGTACAATACATTAAACCACAGGTAGTCAACTGATTCTGTTAAATATTTATTCTCATAAACATGATTGCATTCATTCATTCAACATGTGTGAGATATTCAGTGTGAGTTCCTATTTCTGCCCCCTATGAGTTGTGAGTATATTTAGAAAAACTTTGATGGCCATTGCCTAAAACTGAACTCAAGCAAAACTACAGTAGTTAAGAGCATCGTGGGTTTAAACAGACTGCTTCCCTCAGTCACTGTATTTCACCTCGCATGGTTTGCTTAGCTTCTTCATTTTCATCTGGAAGTGGTTCCAATTATATCTTAGTACTACAGTAGAAACATTTAATGAGAAAATGTATGTAATGTTTAACAGATATTATTAACCAGAAATATAGTAACTGCTAAACAACTAGTTGTTATTCGAAAATTTCCTTTTTTTTAAGATTTTATTTATTTATTTTTAGAGAGGGAAGAGAGGGAGAAAGAGAGAGAGAAACATCAATGTGCGATTGCTGGGGGCTGTGGCCTGCAACCCAGGCATGTGCTCCAACTGGGAACCGAACCTGTGATGCTTTGGTTTGCAGCCTGCGTTCAATACACCAAGCTATGCCAGCCAGGGCAATAATTTCTTTTTTAACTATTAAATTCAAATTCCATGTTCTTACCACTGTCTCTCTACTCCTCATGCCAGGCACTGAGTGAGAGCCTGTTCTCGGCCCACCTCCTAAGGGTCACTTACACTCCATCTGGTGTTCATAAACTTAAAAGAAAACCTAGGGTGATTAATGCATGGGATAGATTAGATACTATGGAATTATAAGGATGTGGCACCTGAATTGGTATTTTTTTCCCTTTTTTCTTCCTTTTTGTTAAAATTAGCCAACTTTTTCCCATTACATTTTATATCCTATAACATGACTAGCTATTTGAACTATAATTTTTTTTTGTAAAGTCAGCCCTCCAGTGTCATTCTAAGAAAAGAGCACAGTAGCACTACCTAGTAAACAAAGTCATCATAATTTTCTATCACCTTTTATTGTCTGACTAAAATGCTTTTAGAAACAGGTATCTTTAAAAAATTGAAAGCAATCAAGTTGTTTAATTTAAAATAATTTCTACTCCAGAGGAATTAAACTTCATCCTAACACAAAATTATAAAACAATCAATTGCATTTTCTTTCTTTCCTCAATATATATTAATGCTTAATGTATTTGCATTACAACTTTTATTTTCTCAAAGGCAGGTCAAGTGAACCCAACAATCAAATTATATGTTGTAAACCTATATGGACCAACTCATACTTTGGAACTCATGCCACCTGACAGCTTTAAATCAAGGTATGCGATTTCAGTTTCACTTTTACCAGGGAATATATAGTTTAACACCATTATCATTTTGTTTCAATTTGGAGAGCAATGTGATCACCTCAACAAATCCACTTGAAACTAGTCTGAGGTTGCCTCCATTAGTGCAGGAATGAAGTCATTCTGAGTTTCTGTTCCCAGAAAGCATTTACAATTTCAAGGTGATTAGCAGTACCTACCACAAAATGACTAAATATGTTGATACTGAGGGTTAGGCCTTTTGCAGGATATGTGACAGAGAGAGGGGAACAAAGGATACTTTTCTACTGATTTTGCTTCCTGAAAACACCCCTTCCATTTTTTTAATTGTACTATAAAATTTGTGCAGTTTTTTCAACTTTTCCCCCACAGCTTATCAATGATTCTCTAGCATTCATTTCTAAGCAGAAACATTTAATGAGATTTTGTTTTTCAATATCCAACATAAAAGCCTTCTTATTTCTTATCTAAGAAATTTTAAGTGGAGGGAAAAAAGAAACACATTTTATATGTCAGAAGCATAATTTTAATATTAGCAAAATCTCCAGTAATGAACAACTGATCAAATAGCCATGTGCATTTTGAAATCTAGAGTGGTCTCAAACTTCAATGGTGATTCTTTGAAACATGCAGGTCTTTGAAAATTTAAAGCAACCCTATAAATGGGATATGATAGGCAGCTGCTATATAGGAAAATGGTTTCACACTATATTGAATGCTGTGGGGCTCAGCTCAAAGTTTATTTTGATGATATCAACAAACATAGCAGAGCAACTGATGCAAAACGAAATTGCACTCAAATGTCGCATTGATATATTTGGAAAAATTTCATCACAGTTGGGGATTTTCACAGAGAGTACAACCTGCTGTGTGGAAAATTTTCCCACTTGAAGGGTAATAAAAATTTATGGAATGTTTACACTGGAAAGTTTCTCATTAACTACCTAATATAATCTGCTCCTTTTATTAGTGGAAAAGATAAGATCCACAGATAAAAAAATGTTCAGATAGACCCTCAGGATTATTTAGTTTTTAGCTGAGTTAGAAAATGACGTAAAGCCTGCTTCATAAAGTTACAGAACACTGCATCTAGGTTGTAATGGGGACCTTAAAGACCATCTGAATCGACATAAACAATGCAGTAGGGTTGACCTAATAAGATAAAAGCTACTTCTGCGCTCAGTCTACCAGATGTGAAAGATTTAGATGCAAATGAAACAATTAGAAAAATTAATGATGTTTTGTGTGATTCTTAACTCTTATTTTTGTCTCTGATTTGTTTGATACTCTGAATTAACAGAAAAGAATAGTAGACTAGATTATTTGAGGCACATCACTACCACCATCTCATTATGTCTGTCACCTTGGGCAGTTTACTCTCTCTCTGGGTCTAACTACCCTAATCTTGAAAGGATAGTTTATAATTTTCATTATTTTTAAGTTTTTTAAATGGAGGTCAATTTTATTTTTTAAAATATTTTAAATTTATTTTTAGAGAGAGGAGAAAGGAAAGAGAAAGAGAGTGAGAGAAACATCAATGTGTGATTGCCTCTCATGTGCCCCTCACTGGGGACCTGGCCTGCAACCCAGGCATGTGCCCTGATTGGGAATCAAACTGGTGATGCTATGGTTTGCAGGCCAGTGTTCAATTCACTGAGCTGCACCAGCCAGGGTGGAGGTCAATTTTAAAATATCCACATTCCTCTTTAATAAGACATAGTGATTCCTCACCTTGATTTGTTACCTGAAAATGTTTCTAATGAGTTCACTAGGCTACAGCAGAGTATCATCAAACACAAAATTTTCTAAAAAATGAAACAAAACAATTATCCCATATTGGAGTATTAGTTAAGTGTACATATCTTTGATATTTGAAGTACAATATGATAAAATTAGTCACCAACTGCAAAGAGATATCACACATCTTAGTTGTTGGAAGTCCAAAACACAGAATAATGATGCATGCCCACCTGCCTGCAGTGAGCGTGTAACGCTGTGGATGGTTAGTCAACACGCGAGAAAAACATACACAGAGACAACAAAGTCCTGTGGGGAAGTAGGAACAAAATGGCCACTTTCTCTGGTGGGGAGGGTGCCGCTTGGCCACCCTCTCTCCCAGAGGGCACCATGGTCACTCCCTCTTGTGGGGAGCACGTTGTTCCCCCTCCAGAGAGGCTTTTTATTGGTTTCATTTGCATAAGAATTCAAGTAAAGCTCATTACTCATTGCTAGGAAGTAAGGATCAAACAACAGATAACAAGGAAGTCTGAGGGCCTGTTTTGTGTCAGGATCAAAGAGCTCTAAAACTTGAAAGAACAAACTTACTTCTTCCTTGGTCCCTTATCATTCAACTGAGAGCATTCTAAACAAAGCAGGTTTCACAGGATTTTACACATTCTTTCTTAGGCCTGATCACCCAGGGAACCTGCCCTTTTCAGCACAGAGCTGCACCACCCTGTCATTGTTTCAGGCTTAGGTGGAGCAAGGGAAGTAAGGCAACCAAGAGATAAGGAGATTTTCTCCCAGAGATGAGGACTCAGGCTATGTTACAGCTGAGGAGCCAGTGTCCATCACCCCTTTTTGCTGTAGCCCCCAAAGTCCTTTCTGGGGGGCCTCCCACCTGATGGTGCCTGTCTTAGGTCATTCCCCCCTTGGAGAATCTTACCCATCATCGGCTAACCAACCAAACATTGGGGTTCAGTTATGAATGAAGCAGCAGAAGCAGCACTCCTGCCAGGGAGATAAGCTTTTGTCTCCTTGCTGGTTTACGGTCCAAGGTCACTCCCTCGCCTTAGCCTTGGCGGGGGTTACAGCTTCTGATACCAGGCAGGACAGTTCCCAATAGAATAATATACTGTATCCTACTGACAGGGAGTGAAATTCCTGTGAAGAAAAAGTACTTAAATGTAATTAAGATATATTGGTTTAGCAGTGATGTTGGTCTACAATTTAGAGAGAGTCATGTAATATCTATACAATGTACATTACAGTTTTGCTTTTTATGCCTCTTGGTCTTATGTGAGTGCCAACTGTGCCATTGGAGATGCACCAAAGTGTGTGATTTACTCTTTTGTTTCCACAAATCAAGATCAAAATTTACTTCAAAACTGTTTTTTTTCAAATGTTTTCCATGCTTCAGTTTTACAGAAATGTATTTTTTTACTCAGTTGTTTTTGGAGAAAAGAAAAAAGTAATTACTGAAATTTATGTCATCTGCATTTAGCCACTGTGAGGCCAGTTATTACTTAATGGACCCACATATACAGAAACAGAGAGAGAGAGAGAGAGAGAGAGAGATCCATGGTGTGAATAAAAGAAAGCTGCATTCATCTTGATGCACATCAGATGGAATCTAAACTCTTACTTTCTTGAATTTGTTTTAGGAGTACCAATATCTCTAATATTCAATACTTAGTATTCTAAGTTTCCATAGAGGAAATTTCATAGAGGTGTTCTAACAAATTCCATAGAGGAATTTGTCTGAAAATTATTATTCCCTCCCTTATTATGTACTTGAGATCTAACAGAACATATCTTTTTTTTATAATTTATTGATCAGTGTCCTAAAAATTAAAAAAGGCAGCACACTCAAGGGATAATAAAGTGTAGGTAATTAAAGGACTACTAACAAAGATATGGCTCTGGCTGGTGTGTCTCAGTGGACTGAGTACCAGACTGTGAACCAAAGAGTCACCAGTTTGATTCCCAGTCAGGGCACATGCCTGGGTTGCCGGCCAGGTCCTCAGTCGGGGGCATGTGAGGGGCAACCATACATTGATGTTTCTCTCCTTTTCTTTCTCTCTTCCTTCCCCTCTCTCTAAAAATAAATAAATACAGTCTTAACCCTCCCAAAAAATAAAGATATGGCTAGGATTAAAGAGAAACTCACAAAGGACAGGAAAACATCGAATCTGTAAAAGCAGAAAGTTATTACTGTCTCAGGATTGCAGGAATAAGGAGCAGACTCACAAGAACACACAGTGACCTTTCTGAATCCATGGGAGAAGTGTTCTTTCTCTGTTTCTATTTCTTCTTCTCTTGTCTCTCTGTCTTCCTCTGTCTCAGTCTGTCTCTATCGTTGTGTGTGTGTGTATAGAAACAGAGAAATTGAATTGTATGTATATATACACATACATCTATGATTTAGCTAGGTAATACTTGTCCTTCTCCTGAAAACCTGCCATATTTTTTTTCTTTAAAAAAAATCATTTATTTGTATTTAGAGAAAGTGAGAGAGACCTCAGTTTGTTGTTCCATTTATTTATGTATTTATTGTTGGCTTCTTATATGTGCCCTGGCCAGAGATCAAACCCACAACCTTGGTATATTGGGATGATGCTCCAACCAACCCAGCTAGCTGGTCAGGGTCTGCCATATTTTTCTTATGTGCCTATGAGTCATAAAACTGATTATGTTTTAATTGTTTGCATTAGTGTCTGCTGGACATAAAATTTACTCATGGTAATATTTGCTTGCCTCTGTAACTTATTTCCTTTTACCTGTCTTCCTAATTTTCTTTACCCCATTATCCTTAAATTTTTCTAAGCTAACTCAAATTCTTTATGTTTTTGAAAATTTAAATACATTATTTTTGATACCAGTATATTAACAATATTCCCATATTTATTAGTGACTCTCATATTTATTAGTATTTCTCTAAATCCCAAGCAATACCAACTTATTTTATTAGTAATATACTTTCCCTATGCCCTATTAAGACTTCAAATGCCCACTCTTCTTTTTGGAGTTTGTACTGTATTCATAGTATAGCCACTAGTATCATTTGAGATGCTGCTCAAATTCACAATAAAAGAATACCTAAATAATTAATTCACCAAATAATAATTTATATGCTTATTTTTTGTATTACCTGAGCATCTACTGTATTTTTATTTTATCTTCACATGACCTATAAATGCCAACAAATAAGTGAACCATATTCTATTACTCATTCTAGTTATAAACATTTTCTGTTTTTTAACTTTTTTCACTAAAATTAAACTTCATGTATACCAATCTCTATAGCTTTTGTATTTCTAATAAAATCACCACGATGATAATAATAATAATTGAATATATATGTATCTATATAGAGAGGAAGATTAAGAAGCATGTAGAAAAATATTTTCTTATGACTTTAGCTACTTTATAAACTGTATCCCCTGACCTCTATCTACCCACAAAGAACAAGATTTGCTATTAATTTGAAGGTATTAGGTCATTTTTGTTTGATCTGTTGATCTTTTGGTTAGTTGAATTAATTAGTTATAACAACTAATGTTTACAATTATGACAGAAAAAAGTCCTTTTGCTAGTCTTATCATTGAATAGAACTTCCCTTTAACCAGATACTTACAGTCTAAAGAATGTAAAATAAATATAAATTTATTTGTATGGTTATAAAAAGAAATTAAAGGGATAAGTTTATCAGAGAAAGGCATAATTTATGTTTATAATTCCTTGCCCCACACTCCCATCATTTAAAAAAAATAGTGACTCAGCTAAAAACTTTTCATCAAATTCAGATCATGAATGCAACTTTTCTTCAATACTAATTCAATTCAGACTTTTATTTTTATTTGAATTATGGTCTGTGTTGATTCTTCAGAATGTAACATGGTAGGAACTAAGATAATGACCCTTCTCAAATGTTTTCAGACCCAGTGGAATTTAGACAATTAATCTCATCTGAAGAAGAAACATTTTGTAAATTTTTACACTATGAGTTCAGGGTATTGGAAGTACTTAGTATCTTTATTGGAATTTACAAGTATTAATTTAAAATAATTAAATTCCTGTGAAAATATTTTTATGATAATGAAAAATGCATATTTTTCTACAGAATGTTATTTGTCACTTTTCTTTTGGTGGGATAATTATTATTCTTTATGTTCAGAAACCTGCAGTCTGAACAGAGTAATGGCAGTGGTTTGTTTTTGGCTTCTGCTTACTCTGTGTCTTTGACATTATTTTACTTATTTGAATTTTTATTTTAGTCACCCAGCCTTTGTGAACCATTGTTCTCAGCCTGTATCATTGATGTGACAGTGTTACATTGCCCTGTCACTCTGGTCTTGATAGTACTGTGCTTTCTTTATTTCTTTTTTTATTGTAATTTTTATTTTCTTATTGTTGTTCAAGTACAGTTGTTTTCATTTCCCCCCCTCTCCAGCCATCCCCAACTCCCAACCTCAATCCGATTCCCCTTTGGTTTTGTCCATGTGTTCTTTATAAATGTTCCTGAAAACCCTTCGCTTTTATTCCCCCATTATCCTCTTTTACTTCCCTTCTGGTTACTTACTGTCAGTTTGTTCTTAATTTCAATGTCTCTGGTTATATTTTGCTTGCTTGTTTGTTTTGTTGATTAGGTTCCATTTATAGGTGAGATTGTATGGTATTTGTTTTTCACCTCCTGGCTTATTTCACTTAGCATAATTCTTTCCAGTTCCATCCACTCTGTCACAAAGGGTAGGAGCTCTTTCTTTCTTTCTGCTGTGTAGTATTCCATCATGTAAATGTACCATAGTTTTTTTGATCCATTCATTTACTTTCATTTGTGTATGTCTAGTCTACATTTCTTATTCTGACAAGGAATGTCTGTGCCTTCCTAGATAGTCTAATTAATAAATTTATCTATCTTCATGGAAGTGTCCTAAATGTCCCCTATTGCTCATAATACATAGTTATTAACAGAGGTCTTTGAAGAACAGTAGATATGAATTGGTCCTGATGCTATCACAATACACTTATGGACAAAGATACTGGATTATCTGGAAGAGAATGAGTTCAGTATAACTATATATGTAAAGATTATGTTATGAATAAAGAGCAGTGATTGGACAGGAAACCAGTGAAAAAAACGATGCAGCTTCTAACACACCTATCTGCTGGTGATGCAGAGGCCTCCATTCCACACACCCTTGTGAATAATTAGATCTCTCATGACAGACCACACCACTGATATAAGGTCTTTCTTGACTTGAGTGCAATCCCTGTGACCTGATTGTGTCTGTCTCTGTGGTTCAAAAAGACTAGATTCTCTAGGACTTCTCGGGTAATCCATAGCCATGGAGACTAGGAACAAGAAGGGAAAAAATAGTTATAAAGAAGGGACACCGCTGGCCACTGGTCACGGGGTACCTGATCTAATGTGTTCATAAAATAGAATTCCAGAGGACAGCCACATTTGCTGCAGGCAGGCCAAGGAGTATAACATTTCCAGGTAAAAGTGCTTTACTGATCCTTCATTCAGAGGGTGCCTGGATACTTAAGAGCAAACTGAATCATATGAATCATATGAGGTAGATATGAATCATAAAGGAATATGTACCTAGGATTTTGGTACAAAAGAAAGAAAGGACATAGAGTGTGATTTAGTTAGTAAATATATCTTTCCTCACTTTTTAAGTGTTAAGCTCTACTTTAACTTACATTTTAGACATTTCCAACACTTTATCATGAAATTTCAGTGGTTTGAAATTACCCCTGAAAGTATTCACAATTCAATTTTCCTGATAACCGTCATTCTTCAAATTATAAATAAGATATATACTAAGATATCTTGCATCAAATTAAATTTTGCTCATGAACATAGATATATTACACATGAAATAACAAAGTAATCACATTAATCAAAAATAAGTATTAGTGGCATGGCTATAATAATTTAAACTTAACACTTAAGTTAGTGCCCCTTATAAAAATCACTTATTTACCATATTTTCACTTGTTGAATTTTAATTGTTTTTCAAATATGAATTTTTTTAAAAAATCAAGACTTTTCATCATAGGTAAGAATCCCTGTAATGTGTCAATGTCTGGGAAGACATTATAAAAATATGGCCCTGTAACATTTTACTTGAGGGCCACTGTAAAAGGGAAACCATTCATGATTGATATTTAAATTCTGTGTTGTTATTTATTTTAAAATCTTTTATGTTCATTTATCTTACTTGCCACAAAAGATATTACTCACTTTCACTAATTGAGACAGATATCTGATTTGGTTTGAAAATATTTTGTATACCTCTTTTATTTATAGTTTCCATAAATATGACCTTGATTTTATAGTCCTTGGTCAGTTGTTTATAATAATTGTACTATTTTTACTTCAATTCAACCAATATGTATGCCAATAAATCAGAAATATGTATTGTCAGAATTTAGCATTTTCTTTCCTGATTGATTATAGTTACCACTATTATTTTATCCATGTTAAAACTTCTAGATAAACCTATTAAAGTTTAATATCTATATTTCCCCTTTTTTCACAGTGACAAATATAACAATGCATAAAAAGTAAATCAGTTTAAACAAAGTGCAGTGAAAATGAATAGGACATCATTCTCTGAAGAACTTCTTCATTAATGAAGAACATTAATTTGGCTACAGATTAACCCTAAACCAGTTGCATATTTGATTCAAAGTAATCTTACCTTATTAACTCTGTCTGGGGAACATGACACTATAATTTCCATGAATTTCCAGGCAGTTTTCAAATGGGACTCAGCTGGGTTGTGAAAGCTGCCAAATGTCTTAAAAAGATTGAAGAAAATATGGCAGGCTTCACTGTATGATAAGTTTTGCTTACCCTATTACCCTATATTAGCTGTGATGGGCTAACAGGTTTGCTAGAGAAAGTAGTAGCCAGTGATGTTAGAAATGTAAGATTCAAGTAGCTGAATGTCTAACACAGATGTGTACAAGAACAGGTGATTTGTCTCACAAGGTTTTTCTCCCACGGGTGATTTTTTTTGTAAGTCATATTAAAACTGAGTGGATGAACTTTAAGATAATACTTATGGAGGGCATTTTTCAAACCATTTCTTTTTTTAAGTATATTTTATTGATTATGCTGTTATAGTTGTCCCAACTATTTTCCCTTTTTCCTCCTCCTCCAGGTGCCCCCCTTCCCTCCAGTTATAACCCCACTTTAGTTTCTGTCCATGGTATGTGTGTGTAAGTTCTTTCAAGCCATTTCTAAAACATCTCGTCTATTCTGAAACTGGGCAAATTTGTTGGAAAATTGTGATTTTTTGTTATTAATTGATTGAATCAATGTTGATGATTGCATTTTGTTCTGTTTGGGTTGAGGTTTTGTGCTATGTTATGTAAATTTCCAAATATAAGAATATACAATGAAAGGCTTATAAACTATAAAGGAAAAAAATATAAACTCCCAATTTACAGCCAGCCTAAAGACATGATAGGCCACATAAATTAGTAAACCCTCTGGTCTAAATATTCAATAACCCTTCATCTCCTTTAGTTTGATTTCTTCTTTTTTTAAAACTGTTTTAAATAAATAAGAGTTTAAAAAATACTGTAATATGAATAAGGCTGGAAGTGGCCCTTTACCCACAACTGACAAACACCAAACCAAACCTTTCGTAGGTTTATAGCCTAAGTCCTCATGCATAAAGTGAAATAACATCAAGGCCATGCATAAAAAATAATTAAACCTATAATAAGTTTTACCTTTTAATTGATTATTGACTATATTTTAAAGAAATGAAGTAGAATATAAAAAGCTTAGAAAAATTATACTTACTTTGCATATATGTTATTATTAAGAAATAGAGGATAACAAATTCTTCATAAATATCTAGCAACTTGATTATTTTTACATCTTGATTAAATCCTTTCCAAGGATTTTCTTCTGGGAAATCATTCACTTTCAATTTTGTTCTTAAGTTTTCTGTGTATCTGTGGCTGCATTTATATGTATATGCATGTGTTTACATACATACATACACATACATGCATAAACATATATTTGCATTTATATAGTGACTACTTGAAAATGTGATGTGTATATATTCATAAATAGAAATTCTTTTGATGTGGCATTCTTATAGCCTAATAATATTCCATTTATTCTTGCAGTGTACATTATTGGTTCTTTACAAGTCTTCTGGCTCTAAATGTAAATTTTAATTTTGTTTCCAACTAGAGAATACTATATCACAATGGTTAAATGGGTAAGCAATACCAAGACGGTGGTCAGATGGTTAAACCGACCTCAGAACATCTCCATTCTCACAGTCTGTGAGACCACAACTGGTGCTTGCAGTAGAGTGAGTATAATTTACTTTCCTTATATGCTTAAAATGAAGTAATTTAGAGAGATATCAGAAAATCCTTTGTGCAAAGACTTCAATGTTTATCTTCAAATGGTAGTAGGAAGAGTCATTCTATTAGTATATACTTTAATCCATAAAGCTTCCAAAATGTGAAGTAAGAAATATAGATAATAAGCAGAAGAGAAAACACTAACTTTAAAAAAATAAATTGCTTGTATAGTTTACTAGGTTGTCTGAGCCATGTTAGTGTCATTCTCAACAATGGAATGTCCCTGTATATTTTAATTTTGATTAAGTTGAGAATATAGACTGTTCCTTTCCTGTTTTCCTTAAACACATTCCAAAAATTCAAGTTTTTATAGTTTAGATTAGTCTTTTTAAAGAACACAGAGTGTCACTGTCCTTAAATTAAATAAAAGGAGTAAAAAAATGGTTTTGGAACCACTGCACTTTGAAATTAGGTTGTAATTATATTTCTGTAATCAGTTTTCATAAACTGCAATAAATTCTATATGTATCATTTTAAGGTTCCTAGTAGAAGAAATACTGTAATCACTTCAAATTATTATGGTATATTCTTGGTACTAGGTAAAGGATTCTCAAATATTTAATAACACACATTTCAAATTTCTGATTTTGGAGAAGATGGAGCAAATGTTATCAGACTAACATCTCTGCTATCATGAATTCTAAAATTACAAAAGATATTAAAAACTTATTTTCAGATGTGGGACATCAGAACAATTAGGAAATTAATTGTGGAATAGTGTAAATACACAAGATGGGCCCCTGTATAACTTCTTATTGTGACATTTTTGAGATCACAATGCAAGGAGATGTTACCTAAGAAAGACACAGTGGTATCACTACTTCAAGGAGGCAGGATGAATCAGAGTTTTAGACTTTTTGTGGCTGAAATTTGCAAGACAGGTAATGCAGAATTTGGAGCTTTAAAAAGAAAAAATCCAGTTATCCAGTTATCTGTGAAGGATCGCTGAGGTCTTTAGCTGATTAGCTGTGTAAGTACAAGACATACCTTAGAGAGAGAATCAGAGAGAGAAATTGCAGGTTGCACAATGCTTGGAAACTTTGGAGTTCTGAAGAGCAAAAATAGAGAAAGCTCTCACTAAAAACCCAGTTCATTCAACTCAGGGCCCACAAAGAAAATGCATTAGGAATAGGGCTGTTTTAGATGACTTTTCATAAACTTTTAAGTCAAACCCTGAAGGGATCAAACTTATCTGCCCATAAATTAGCTGTCTGACAGAAAAATGTTTACTCTTTAAAAAGAACATTAAAATATTTGCAAAACATATAACTGATAAGGTGTCAGTATCTAAAATATTTTTAAAAACTCATATAACTCAATAGAAAAAGAAATAATCACATTTAAAAGTGAGCAAAGAATCTGAATAAACAGTTTTCCAAGAGATAATAATCAAATAGCCAATAAGTATATGAAAAGGTACTCAACATCATTAATAATTAAGCAAATGCAAATCAAAACCACAATGACATATCACCGTACATGTCTTAAAATGGCTATTATCAAAAAGACAAGAAGTAACAAATGCTGTCAAGGAAGTAGATAACAGGAATCCCTTGTGGACTGTGGTGGGAGTGTATGCTACTACAGACATTGGGGGAAACAGTATGGCACATACTTAAAAAATAAAGAAAAAAATAGAACTTCCATGAGATTCAACAATTCAACCTCTAGTAATAGAGAGGAAACAAAATCACTATCAGAAAAGATATTTATAGTCTCATGTTTATTGCAATGTTATTTACATTAGCCAAGACATGGAAAAATAATCAAATTTATAATAATGGATGAATAGATTTTTTAAAGTTACACATACACACAATGTAACACTATTCTGCATAAAAAAAGGAAATCCTAATATTTGTGACAATATGGGTGGACCTGTATGCTAAGAGAAATAAGTCAGATAGGGAAAGACAGATACTATATGATCTCACTTATTTGTGGAATCTAAAAAAAAACCCCACCATATTTATAGAAACAGAGATTAGATTTGTGTTTCCTGGAAGTGGGTGGGTGGGGCTAGGGGGACTCGGGGTAATTGGATAAAGCTGATTAAAAAGGTACAAACTTCCAGTTACAAGATAAATAAATTCTGGGCATGTAATATCAATATGATGGCTATAGTTATCAGTACTGTATAATAAATTTGAAAGTTTCTATGAAGATAAATCTTAAGTCCTCATCACAAGGGAAAATATTCCTTGTGAGGTGATGGATGTTAACTAAACTTCTGGTAGTAATCATTTCATAGTATACACATATATCAAACCATTATGTTATATACCCTAAATTATACAATACTATATGTCATGTATACCTAAATAAAACTGGGGACAAAAGAATAATTTGAGTTCTACACTCTAGAGCAGGGGTATCAAACTCATTTTCATGGGGGGCCACATCAGCCTCATGGTTGCCTTCAGAGGGCCGAATGTAACTTTAGGACGGTATAAATGTAACTACTCCTTAACAGTTAAGCAAGAGTTCGGCACTGCCCCTGGGTAGAAACAAGGTCCCTGGCCGGATAAAACAAGGTGTAGGCAGCCCACCGGCCTTGTGTTTGCCACCTGTGCTCTAAAGGGTAGAGAAAAAAGCTAACTTTTCAATTAACTTTTTGAGGGTAGTAGCATGATCCTGTTACCAAAGACAGGATTATGCTACTCTTATAAACAAGGACATTACAAGAGAGAATATTTTTGACTGATACCTCTCACGAACACACATACATTTAAAAATCCTTAAACATATTAATATGTCATCCCTGGCAATATAGAAAATAGCAGTCATGACTAAATGGGGTTTATCCTGTGAGTTTCAGAATGATATTAAAAATCAATCAATATCTCATATTTAACAGAAAAATAATATTTCATAAGATTTAAAAACAATTGATAAAATGCAATGCTTATTCATAGTTTGCAACATGAGTGAATATAAATTAGTATCCCCAATCTGATAAAAGTACCCTAAATACCCAAATAAAGACCATATTCAATGTTGAAACACTTTTCTTATTCACCTTAAGATTCTCAATAAGCTAAGAATATAAATTCTATTATACAAACTTATTATAGCTCTAATCATAGCAACTTGGCAAGGAATAAATATAATGATTGTTAAGGAAGAAGTGAAAATGTCTGATTGTTAAGGAAGAAGTAAAAGTGTCTTTATTTGAACATGGCATTATTGTATAAATAAAGTGTAAGAAATCTACAAAAACAGGCCAAAATTCCTACATCAAAGAACTAACTTCATTTGTTTGTTCCATTTGATAATTTTGATTATTTTACTATTAAGAATGTATAAATATGTAAAATACTATAATTTTCTTAAGAAAGTATTACTGAATTACTTATGGGTAAATAGATCTAGTGTCTCAAAATTTGTGTAGAAATTTTTTAGGATAAAAGGATATTTCTAACCTTTAATCGCTTTTAAAGATTTATACTTCCATCTTCCTCTCAAATGGTTAGAAACTGTGTATATAAGATATAATAATAAAACACAATATAAATGAGAACTATGTATAAAGGATATGTAGATACTTCTTGAAATGGTCTTTAACTTCTCTGTAACTTTGTACTTATTTCCAACTAAATAATTAAGAAATGAAAATATATTTTATATACTTGTAATATTATGATGGAAAATAAAAATACCATTAAAATAAATAGAAACTTAATGCTACATTCTTGAATTGAAAGTCTTAGTGTTGCAGATTTCAGTTCTACTCAAATTGAACTGTACTTTTAATATAGTACTGATTAAAAGCAAAATTTTTTGAAGAAAAGGACAGGCTGATACTAACATGTATATGGACAAGGTCAGGTACCTTCAGTGTGGCATGACTTTGTGTGGTAAACATCCAATGCAATATTTAGTTGATTTATTATAGAATTATACATAAGAAACCTATGTAATTAACCAATGTCATCCAATAAATTTAATTAAAAATTTAAAAAGAGCACATGGAAATGCAAAAAACCTGATGAGCCAAAACAATCTTGTGGAAAAGAAAATGTTGGAGGAATTGCACTACCTGATTTGAAGAATAACTAGAAAGCCCCAGAAACTGAAAGAATGTAGCAGATACATAAGGACACACAAATATATCAAATGAACAGAACATAATTTCCAGAAAGAGATTCATATTTGTATGATCGATTGATTTTCAACACTGGTGCCAAAACAATTCAGTATGGGAAAATGGTGCTGGAAAAATCAATAACCAAATGGAAAAAAACAAAAAAAAACAAAAAACAAAGCCTGTTTGACATTTATCTCATACCATATTTTACAATTAATTTAAGAGAAATCCCAGCCTTATCTAAAACTTATATTGTCAATCTTCTAGATGAAAATATGGGATATTTTTACTATGTTAGATAGGCAAAAATCATTAAGTAAAAAAAATACAATAGACATCATCTAAATTAAAAACTTTTCATTAAGGTACTATTAAGAAATTATAGAACTAATCACAAATTGAGAGAAAATGATTTGCAACATATGTATCTGACAAAGTTATATAGAGAGTGGGGCAAATCTTATGTATATATGTACACACACATATACACACATACATATATACCACATAATTTAATTTCTATATATTTGCATGAGAAATAAAATCATCTGTCTACCAAAGGATTTACAAAAAAAAGGAACTCTTTAGAGAAACTATATTGACAATAGCTAAACACTTGAAACTATATAATTGTTTGTTAACAAGGAATGGATAAACAAAATGAGAGAAACAAGTGAATAAACAAAATATCTACAGAGTGGATTGTACTCAGCAGTCTAAGAAGAAACCGAAACAGAATAGTGATACACTCAACAATATGAATGGATCTCAAAAACATGTAGTGTGAAATAAGCCCCACATAAATCAGCACATAATACATTATTTCAATTTTATGAATTTCTAAAACAGGAAAAATATGAAGAATAGTTCAGAAGGGTGGTTGCCTTTTTGGAAACTATGGGAAGAGGCATGAGGGAATGAGTGAGGAAATATAAAGGTCTTAATCTTCATGGCATGTAAATAAGTTTGTCAAAATTCATCTCATACATTGCCGATCTGTACATTCACTATATACAATATATACTGCAATACTTCTAAAACATCATTTTAATGGCCTATAACACAGAGAAATGAAGAGAAAGAGATTGCTCTAATTAAAATGATGAGGGTATGTGTGGAAATGAGGTACGTGAATCAGCTATTCACTATTTGGATTGATCAGTGCTCTTCAAATTTAGCTTGTATTTATTAGAAAATTTATTTCAATCATCCTTTTTTACCTTGATAGCTTAGAGTGATTAGGATTTAACCATTCATTTGTTAAAGTGTTCTGGAGGCTTTCTCATGTAGCTGATTAATAAGTCATTTAAAAATTGGAATGCGGGGGCCAGGAAGTGGAAAGTATGCTGGAAGCAGAACTGCAGGCATGGGGGTGGCAGGAGCTGCAGTCAAGACAAAGAGGATGATAATGCCAGTTATATGTGAATTTTTTAATGAAACCTCAAACCAAGTGAGAAGAAACCTTCAAGGAATGGCTACTGACATTTAATATAGCAACACTTCTGTCAAGATGGCAGCATAGGTTAATGCAGTATTCACATGCTCCTACAACCATGTCAAAAAAAAGTCTACCTGGCTGGCGTAGCTCAGTGGATTGAGCGCGGGCTGGGAACCAAAGTGTCCCAGGTTCGATTCCCAGCCAGGGTACATTCCTGGGTTGCAGGCCAAAACCCCCAGCAACCGCACATTGATGTCTCTCTCTCTCTCTCTCTATCTCCCTCCCTTCCCTCTCTAAAAATAAACAACAACAACAACAAAAAAGTCTAAACTACAGACACATATGGGGAGGATCTGAATGGTCTGGTATTAAGAAGAGAACTGGTGAGGACAGAGTTCTCCCTGACAAAAGTGCTGGCAGATCCCATTTTTCCTATTCTGAGCTGTCCCCTTACAGTGAGTGGGCCCCCTATATGAATCTCCACCAGCCTGACTCACACTGGTTTGCTTACCCTGGTGATTGCCTGAGACACTGCCCCACCCAACATGCAGGGCTACCCAAGCTGTTTCCAGTGTCTTTTCCATATAAAGGATTCATCTTGTCTCATGCTTTAGGCTTTCTTAAAATCTCTCAAATAAGCAGCATCTGTCCTCTTCATTCCCTGTACCTCTCACTAAGTGGCCCCAGGCCCAGCACTAGGGGTAGCTGGACCTGGTTCAGAAGTTGGCCTCTCCTGGGCAACTGAAAGCCTAGCACAAAGAGAAGCTATCTGCATATCACTTTGTAGCTCATGGTAGGTAGCACCAAGCAGAACCCAGGTTGTGGCTGACCTTTGTATGCACTTCCCAGGAGGTCCCCAGCCCAGTGCAACAAGTGGACAGCTTCAAAACATGCTGGAACACAATTTGACCATCTCTATATGGGACACACTCAAGGAACAAACACCAGACAAAGCACCATTGTCTGCTGCCAAATAGTAGGTGCCAGAGCCCCATTGGAGTATGTCCTGTTCTGTGGGGTGGGCCCTGGCACAGCTGATCTTCCATGATGATCACAACCAGTCTTTGTAGCTGATTGGTTGGGGATAAATCTCTTCCACTGATGTGCTAACAACAATCCAAGCTCAACTACAACAAAAATGTGTATAAAGCCCACATGGATATGGGTGTTACACCTGGAAGGCCCACCTCAGTTGAACAGGGATGCTGTGTTACTAGATCCTACAGGATACCTGTTACGTAAGGCCATTGTACCAAGCCTTGGAGATGTAGCAGCTCCACCTAATAAAGAAAAACAAACACAGGGAGGCAGACAAAATCAGGAGAAAGAAACATGTCCCAAATGAAAGAACACAAAACTCCAGAAAAATGGAGACAAGCAATCTACTAGATCCAGAGTTCAAAACAGTAGTTATAAGAGTGCCCAATGAACTCAGGGAAAGAGCAGATAAACAAAATGGGAACTTCAATAAAAAATAAGAAACAGAAAAGTGAAACTAAAAAACATAAAAAAAAAGAACTAGTCAGAAATGAAGAACACATTAACTGAAATGAAGAATATATTACATAAATGAAGCAGAGGATCAAACTTGAGATTTGGAAGATAAAGAAGCAGAACACACCTAAGCAGAAAAGCAAAATGAAAAAGAATCCAAAAACATGAGAATACTGTTAGGAGCTTCTTTGATATCATTTGCATCATGGGAGTGCTGGAAGGAAAAGTGAGAAAGCAATGAATTGAAAACACATGTGAAAAAATAATAACAGAAAACTTCCTTAAACTGGTGAAGGAAATAGTCATACAAGTCTAGGAAGCACAGAGAGTCCCAAACAAGATGAGCCCAAAGAGGCCACACTGATATGCATCATAATTAAAATTCCAAAGGTTAAAGACAAAGAGAGATTCCTGAAAGCAGCAAAAGAAAAGCAGTTAAGTGCAAGGGAGTGCCCATAAAAAAGTCTGCTGATTTTTTTTTAAATGGAGACAACTGTACTAGTATAACAATAAAAAATAAAGAAAGAAAGAAGTCAAATAAAAACATATATATGTACTATAAAAAAAAAGACAGAGAGTCTGCTAATTTCTCAAAAGAAATATTTCAGGCCAGAAGGGATTGTCAAGAAATATTCAAAGTGATGTAAAGCAAGGACCTACAACCAAGGTTATTCTACTCAGCATGCTATCTATCATTTAGAATTAAAGGACGTATCATTTAGAATTAAAAGAGCTTCCCAGACAAGTAATAACTAAAGGAGTTCACCACTAAACCAATATTACATGAAATGTTAAAGGGTCTTTTTTAAGAAGAAAAAGAAAAAATATGTAAAATAAAATGACAACAAATACATATCTATCAACGATTGAATCTAAAGTACAAAGTAAATGAAAAAGCAGAACACAAAAACACACTCATAAATATAGGAAGCATTATGACAATTGCCAAATGAGAGGGTTTTGGAGGATGGGCAAAAAAAGTCAAGAAATTAAGAAGTACAAATTCGATGTTGCAGAATAGTTACGAGGATGTAAAATACAGCATAGGGAATATGTAAGGTGTCAGATGGGTGTGAGATTAGCCAAGATGATCAATTAGTAAATTATATAATTTCTAATAACTGGGCATCTGATGACATCTGAAACTAATATAATATTGTATGTCATCTTTAATTTAAAAGTAAAATAAAGTACAAAAAAGAGAATTTTTGAGAGCAAGAAAAACTGAGCATAGTTTGGATAACAGGCTATATTATTAGATATTTGTTAATTTTGATAAATGTGATAAATGTAATTTATCACATTTTAAAGATACATATTAGAAATATTTAAAGATACATATTAGAAATATATGGCAATAAATTTACAGGTAAAATAATATATATGAGTCTTGCTCTTAGGTAGTTCATTGATAAAGTGTTCTAGAGTCAACGAAATAAAAAATGGTGGATTTTTGATAATTTTTGAAGCTAGGTGATGGGCCCATGGGAGATTATTATGGTTGTCATTATTTTTGTATATGTTTTAAATTTTTAAAAGATAAAATAATTACAAAATAAGGTAAAAATAAATTTAAAACATTGGAATTCACTTTTTCTAGAACTTGCATATCATCTCTTCTATAGAAGGAAAATCTATACAGGTAACTGCAAAGATATATTAAAATGCTTCAATAAAAATAAACATAGGAAACCTGTCATATTATTGATTTGATACCTTATTGGTATTCAATTAAATTTAAATCCCTTTATGGAATTAAAATATTTTCCTTTGCATTATAAATGAAATAAGACAAGTATTTATATGTGAAATTTTGGAATCTCATGAATTCTAATAAAACAGTAATAATAATGAGCAATGGAAATTGACATGTTTTGTGTCTCTGTTTTACAAATAGAAAAAAATGGACAGGGAGAAATGCTTTGAGTTGAAACTTTATGAATGAAATTTTTCTTCAGAATATTTTTCCAGAAAACTGTAAGATGTTTCCTAAATTATTACATATAAACAGTGTTACTGAAGTTTTTATCTACACGTATTTAACTCAAGATTAAATTAGGCTAATTTTGCTTTTTGAAATATATTTTGGTTTTGGTCTTTTCAAGATTATTTTAAAAGAATTTAACATTTTGTCATTTCAAATGCTAATGACTATGTTGGAGTGGATTGAATGTTGAAACAATGTCCACCTTTTAATTTTATTCCAAGCTGTTAGCCCAGTTCTTTTGAAGGACTTAATAATTTTCTTTTCCTGTTGATATGTAGAAGTGAAAAGAGACATTGTCTAGTGATTAAAAACAGTTTGAGGTAAGAAAACAGAACTGGAAAATGATCTTTTATCCTGGTGATATACTACTGGGAATTCTGAATAGTTCACACACAAAAAAAAGACTTTATAATTAAATTGTTATTTAATCCCAATTTTATAATCATTCATTTTGTTTAAATCAACAATTGCAATGGCATCTCTGGTGGTATTTCACCAGTTGAGGAAAGGGGAAAATACTGGAGAATAACACTGTAACAATTGTTAAATTGATGTGTGTTTATTTTGGCCTTTAGATGCTTCATGAAGTCAATTGTTTTGTTTCAGAAATATGAGATGACATCAGATACATGGCTCTCCAAACAGGTATAGTATAGGTTGTTTCTTTATTTCACATTTTGGCCACTGTGTTCATCCTTTTCACCCATTTGTTATGTGATAACTTTCAAAAGTTATTTTAGTAATATGAAAGCATTTGCATGTTTTTTTGAGATCAAAAACGATTTACTTTATTTTTTCCCCATTTTCCCCATTTTTATTGTTGTTCTATTGCAGTTGTCTCACTATTCCCCCACTGCTCTCCCCTGCCCCACCCACCCCCTGCTCCCACAGTCAATCTCCACCCTATTGTCCATGACCATGGGTCATTTGTACCTGTTCCTTTGCATGTTTAACTGAGTCTTCTCTATGAAAATATTTATGACTTGCCCTTTCTATGACATCTTTATGAACAAATTGCTTCTGTTTTTTATAGAATATAGTTCACAGAATAACAATGTTCCATTTTCAGTGTGATTCATTGTAAATAAATGTTTGTGCAGATGACAGAGAAAAAGTTGCAATCCATTAAAACTAGAAATAATCAACATTCTTTAGATTGTCCAATAAATTATTGTTGTAAAGATTATTCAGATGAACACTTCCTTTGCTAGGTACATCCTAGATCCCAGTGTCAGTGCTAGCCATGTGACACAATGAGTATGGAATCCAAATGATCACAATGGAAAACAACCAAATGTCTCTACAACATGGTCTCATACTGGACATTTCCGAAGAAAACACAAGTAGATTATTCATATATGCTTGTACAAATTTTATTAATAACTCCACTACTTTTTGTGAAGACAAGTGTTTGATTTGTTTTGGTTTTGATTTTTTTCTTTGCAGTCATCTTTTATATTTTTTCCCTACTTATCATACATATCTATGGTTTCACTGACCACAAATATACTGAGACCTCCGAATGTATAGCCTCAGGCATCTCACTTCTCTGACTTTTAAAACATCCATATTCATTCTTGGCATTTCCTCCTAAATCTATAAAAGTAATTGTACACTCCATAGTTCCACACCAAACACATCTCCTTTCTAGTCAGTTTTATGTCTTCTTATCATGGGAGTTGAAGACAGAGTTATACATCCAGCTATTAAAATCATAAACCTAGTAGTTATTTTTGAACCCTTTCTCATGTCATTTTACAGTTCATAAACATTGTCCAGGATCAAACCACAGGTAATGTAGAACCTCCTTCACTTATGCACCCTCAACCCCTACAGAACCTTCAAATCATTCATACTACAGGCTAACTGAGTGAACCTTTTGGAGTATTTATTTGCTCACTACCCATATCAATCTCATGCTTCACTCTTACAACTAAAACAGTTTTTTATATCCTTTTGTTCTGCATATAAAGACCAACATTCTTAATGGGTCTACAAGGAATTAAATTGAAAGCATTTTCAGCTTGTGCCATACCACTCTTTCAATGTTTTCTTCATTCTAGGCACATTAGCTCTCATTTCCACAAGGCCATTGTATGAACCCTTTCCTCTAAAAAGAAGTCCCTTGACTACTTTCGTATGTGAAGGCTGCTCATTGCAAACCTTACCTGAAATCACCTACTTAAGAAGTCACCTTCTCCAGCCATGCTAAATAACATCCCATAATACAAGTTATTTTAAAGTCAAGTGTAATTTTCGTATAATACTTATACAATTAATTCTGTGATTTTCTTTTTTTTTTACTGAGTTTGCAGAGACAGTTGGGATACTCATTTCTGTTCTCTATTGTAAACCAAATGCTTAATATAGAGTCTGGTTGAAGAAAAGCTCCATAAATATTTGCTGAATAAAGAAAATATGTAAGGAGGACTGTAAATAGTCTAAACTTTTAATCATTTGAATAATAGGCACATAGGCATACATTTATATTATCTATATATCATCTATCTATATTAATATGAATTATTTAATCTTAGTCATATGCAAAATGAAATTGGAGAAAAAACTTGATTTTTGTGGCCAGGAATGGACTCTTAAAAAATTAATTTAAATACTGAATATAAAAACAGTGAAAATATAATATATGGATATTGATGTATTCTGAATTATCCTGCCTTATTAAATCTATTTTGTTATCATTTTTATAGCCAGTGACATTCATTATAGGCTAACATACAATGTATGGTCTTTTGGCATAATTTTATCTACAATTTAAATACCAAACTTATGAATGTTTAATAGAACCATTTTAAGCAAAGAAACCAGTTATCAATTATTTAGTAAAAAAATGCAAGTGGCAGTTTGTCACAGTTGACTTCTTCTCCAGATGCTCTAAGAAAATGTCATGAAGTACTTAGAATCTGAAGAAATCTAAAATATGAAAATGGTAGTAGTTATGACATGAAGCAAATTTCTAAGACAAAATTTAGATATTTACTATAATCAACGTATGCTTACTTTCTGGACAGGAGGAAGAACAGAGAGAAGTGGGCATGTTTGCCCAAACTTCAAGAGACTTAGAGTTGGGATAATCAGTTTACTACCAATTTGGTCAGGAATAAGATTTGTTATCTCCAATTCATTAGTCAGTATGTCATAAACAGTGACTTGCTTAAGTTCATGGGAATGGAAAGTGATATTGGGTCCACTTCTTTTATTTGATTTTAGGAAAGGGTTCTGCCTAGAGTACTACATTTATAGCCAGATGTTGACTCATGCTGAAGGTTTTTAAATCCGACTATGAATTTAAGATTATAGTCCCTATCTGTTCTTTTACTGATCTGTTTATAAGGCACAAGATTTGGAGAACTCAGTAAAAAGGAGAATACTCAGATGTATCCATAACATTTAAAAAATTGTTTTTGTAGCAGAACACAAATGGAGAGTGTTAAGGGAGGACTAATAGGTTGGACTAAATGTGACTGAATGATTTGTATAACAAATGTTTATGTCTATTGTATATGTGCATTTATCTATTCATTTATGGGTGTACACCTACTGTGTCCTAGGCAATATAACTAAAAAATCAAAATTGCAAACTTAATTGTTATTTGTCTAGTGAAAGATGTCAAGCAAGTAAGAGAATGCACTGCAAGCCATGAAGAAATGAATACAGGGGCCTTTTTTGAATCTCTGAGAAGAGATTTCTTAACTAGGAGAGACTCTTTAAGTAGGGAAATTTGAAAATGTTTTTTGTTTTATGCATTTAAGCAAATAAATGAGTAAGATTTAGCAGAAAAAGAAGGGAAAGAAGGAGGAGAAGGAAAAGGAGAAGGAGGAAGGAGGAAGGAAGAAGAAGAAGGAGAAAGAATGATGGAGAAGAAGAAGTTGTTCCAAACAGAAAAAACACCATGTACAAAGTCAAAGAGAGAAATATCCTAGGAGAAAAAGAGATGGAATATAAGAATTATTCATTCTCTCAGAGTTGAAAGATGTGATTTTTATAATCACATATCTTTTCAGTACTTATTATATTCCCAGTAATACAATATTCCAATCCTTTTACTTCACAGTTTAAAATTATTTACATATATCATTGTATAATTTCATGAATTTTCATGAACTTGATAAGTAAAATATTATTCTTATATTTCTATCAATGGATGTTCTTACTAATAAAGCTAGAATCAGACTCAATATCATTAAAATAGTTAGATTTACTTATCCATTCAATAAATAATTATTATTAAGTACAATTTATGATAGTCACTGTCCCAGGTTCTGGAGATATAGCAATGAAGAATTCAAGGATCCTGCATCATAATGCTTACATTCTTTTTGTTGTTACTGGTGTTTTTCAAGTACAGCTGTCACCATTTTCCCACAACCACTTCCCCTTCCCCACCCATCACCACCTCTCATATCAATCCTTCTCCCTTGTGGCTTTGCCCATGGGCCCTATATACATGTCCTTGATGACCCTTCCCCTTCTTTCCCCATTATTCTTCTCCTACCTCCCCTCTGGTTACTGTCAGTTTCTTCTTTACTTCAGTGACTCTGGTTATATTTTGTTTGCTCATTTATTTAGTTGATTAGTTTCCACTTATAGGTGAGATCATATGGTATTTGTGTTTCATGCTGGGCTTAGGTCACTTAACAAAATGCTCTCAAGTTTTATCCATGCTGTTGTGATGGGTAGGATCTCCTTCATTCCTTCTGCTGGATAGTATTACATTGTGTAAATGTACCACAGTTTTTTAATCCACTCATTTACTGATTAGCACTTAAATTGCTTCCAGCACTTAGCTATTGTAAATTGTGCTGCTATGAACATTGGGGTGCATAGGTTCTTTGAATTGGTGTTTCAGAATCTGTAGGGTATAATCCCAGCAGTAGAATTTCTGGGTCGAAAAGCAGTTCCATTTTTAGTTTTTTGAGATAATTCCGTACTGTTTTCCACAGTGGCTGCATCAGTCTGCATTCCCAACAACGGTGTACTAGGGTTCCTTTTCTCCACAACCTTGTTACCACTTGTTGTTTGTTGATTTGTTTATGATGGTCATTCTGACTGGTGTGAAGTGGTATCTCATTGTGGTTTTAATTTGCATCTCTCTCATGGATAGTGATGCTGAGCATCTTTTCATATGTCTCTAGGCCCTCTGTATGTCCTCCTTGGAGAAGTGCATGTTCAAGTCCTTTTACCATATTTTAATCAGGTTGTTTGTCTTCCTAGAGTAGAGTTGTGTGAGTTCTTTATATATTTTGGAGATCAAACCCTTGTCCGAGGTATCATTTGAAAATACATTTTCCCGTATGATTGGTTCTCTTTTCATTTTGCTCATTTTTTTTTTAGCTGTGCAGAAGCTTTTTATTTTGATGAGGTCCCATTTGTTTATTCTTTCCTTTATGTCCCTTACTTTAGGGGACATACCAGTGAAAATATTGCTGCATGAAACAGCTGATATTTTCCTGCTTATGTTCTCCTCTAGGAATTTTATGGTGTCACAACTTATATTTAAGTCTTTTATTCACCTTGAGTTTATTTTTATGTATGGTGTAAGTTGGTGGTCAAGTTTCATTTTTTTTTTTGTATGTAGCTGTCTAGATGTCCCAACACCATTTGTTGAAGAGGCTATTTTTACTTCATTTTCTGCTGCTGCCCCCCTTTGCCGAATATTAATTGTCCATAGAGACTTGGGTTTATTTTAGGGCTCTCTATTCTGTTCCATTGGTCCACGTGTCTGTTCTTATGCCAGTACCAGGCTGTTTTGATTAGAGTGGCCTTGTAGTACAGTTTGATATCAGATATTGTGATCCCTCCTACTTTGTTCTTTCTCATAATTGCTGCAGCTATTCAGGGTCATTTATGATTCCATATAAATTTTTGAAGTATTTGTTCTATAGCTGTGAATTGTGCCATTGGAACTTTAATAGGAATTGCATTGACTCTATAAATTGCTTTGGGTAGTATGGACATTTTTAAGATGTTAATTCTTCCAAGCCAAGAACAAGGTATAGACTTCCATTTGTTTGTGTCTTCCTTAATTCCTTCCTTCAGTGTTGTATAGTTTTCTGAGTACAGGTCTTCTACCTCCTTGGTAAAGTTTATTCCTAGGTACTTTTTTCCTGATTTCTGTTTCTGATATTTCAGTTTTGGTGTACAAAAATGCCTTTGATTTCTGAATATTGACTTCATATCCCACTGTTTTGCCAAATTCACTTTTTAGGTCAAGTAGTTTTTTGGTGGAGTCTATGGGGTTTTCTATGTACATTATTCTGTCATCTGCAAACACTGACAGTTTTGCTTCCTCCTTTCCAATTTGGATGGCTTTTATTTCTTTTTCTTGCCTGATTTCTGTGGCTAGGACTTCCAATACTAAGTTGAATAAAAGTGGTGAAAGTGAACATCCTTGTCTTGTTCCTGATCTTAGTGGGAAAGCTTTTAGTTTTTGGCCCCTGAGTATGATGTTGGCTATAGGTTTTTCATATATAGCCTATATTATGTTGAGGTATGCTGTCTCTGGTGCTTATATTCTATAGGAAACTACCTACCTATGTCCCTAAATCCACACATGCACACATACATTCATATTCATAAAATGTGTACAAACACAAAATATAATATATTCCATGGTGTTAGGGATTATGGGGAAAAATGAGAGGTAAGTGAAAGAGAATTATAGATTCACATAGAGTTGGATCATCTGGCTTCCTTGATCACCCTTTATATAGGGTAATCAGGAAACACCTCACTGACAAGGTGAAATAGAGCAATAATGCAAATAATAAGAGAAAGAACCAAACTAGGGGGATAAATAGTGCAAAGGCCCTGAAGCAGAAACATACACAATGAAGAAGTAGAAAAATGGAAGAAGATGAGATCAGAAATAGTCGAGGTCCAAATCATCTACAAGGGTTTGCAACCAATTTATAGGTCTAGAGAAGAAACCATATCAAAGACTTTCATTATACCATATATGTAATCACTCTCAAAAATCCAACAAAAAAGAATGCAATATTTTTTCAGGTAAATCCATTTTCTTAATGTTCCCCCTGAAACAAGAGAAAGTAATCTATATGTCTAGTTTCCATCATTTAAATATCAAAAATAGTTCTATTGATTTAACATGCCACTAGAGTTTAATTTAAAAAAATCATAAACTGGGCATTTGTGTTTGTGTGCTTGTGGAAGGGTGAGAACTGAGGATGGAAAATAAGAATTAAAGGTTTTTTAATAAACTCTGTACAATTTTGTGGCCTTTTGATTTTTATATTTTTAATAAATTAATCTGTAAATCATTAGAAAAGTATTTTCAAGTAAGTAGAGTTCCTGAGTGAAAGATTTTAGAAAAAATATATTAAATGTTGTGTTATTAAATTTTCTATATTAGAAACAAGTTATTTTGATAAACTGGTGGAGATGCTCATATTTTCCTTATTTTTAAAATATAAATTGCTAAAAATTATCATATCTTATGGAAAAATTAGCTTTTTTCTTGAACCAATTTAAAAACTGTAGTTTAATTGTAAAATATTTCCACGCAGTATCTAAGAAACTTCCCAATCCTTCCCATCACTTAAATATATATAATGCATTCAGTTCACTTTAAAGAATATGATCATATACTTTTTAAAATAATTTGGCCATTTTCTAAAATAATTCTAAATAAATAATTGGTCTAATCTCTGCATGAATTAGCAATAGTTGGTAATAGAAATTTCATATGTCATTCTGAGATTGTTATATCACTTTTGTATTTTAGAATGAGGAGCCAGTATTTTCAAGAGATGGCAGCAAATTCTTTATGACAGTCCCTGTTAAGCAAGGGGGCCGTGGAGAATTCCACCACATAGCTATGTTCCTTGTCCAGGTAAGTGCTTCTTTTTCTATGATTTGGTTTTATTGACATGTTCGTTTATGAAGTCCTGATTATTGTGGCACTCTAAACCTACAGTTAATGTCTGGAAGTCCAGCCATATACCCAACTCGAGGACACTTTAGAAAAAAAATCCTCATCTATAACCTTAATTCAGGCTTTTCCTCTCTGTCTTTTCTTCAAAATACAACCTCAACATTCAACAAAACTTAGTGAGCTACATATATATGCTGTGAGTTGAAGACCTTGGGATATAGAATTTAATAAAAGTACTCAATCCCTACTCAAGGCCAGAGAAAAATCTAGATTATATTTTTGTTGTTGTTGTTCATCAACAAATACACATTACCTATTTTGTACAAGTAATATTTTCAAGATTTTATAAATTTTTCACTTACTTGAATAAATATAAATGTCCATCAAAAATTGAAAAGTTGAATAAAATATGTTACACCCACACAAGGGAATACAATGCAGATTTATTTTTATGGACTTTCTGATAAAAGAGAAGAAAATATTTTTTTCTTTAAACTTCAATGAAATATAAATAGTTTATACAATTTGATTATTAAAAAATTAGTGAATTAACAAGTGGTTGTTTAAATGTGACAAGTTAACAAGTCCATTTAAATCAAATTGGCAATTACAAATATGCATGAGAAATCAACTTTCTTTTAAAGTCCAAATAAGTTAACATCATAGTCTCATAGTGAAAAGACAATTTATAAAGATAAAGCCTTGTGGATAAATTGGAATCTTCTATGAAAGCTGTACAAACAAACTAGCCAAGAATCAGTTTCATACCTATAATATATAGAGTAAATATCAATGTCACAAAAGGTCTCTAAGCAGACTAGACACTTTTATGTTCTTAGAACCTTCAAATCTTGTGTGTACCTTTTATCATGATCAATATGTATATATACTGCAAGGGTCAGTGCCTAGAATTCTCAAAAACTTGTGTCAATAGCTTAATATTTAAAATGTTTCCAAAGTCTGGACTGTTAAAATAATTGTCATATTTTAACTTTTATTTTAATTGAAGCTAAAACAAATAATTTGGAACATATAATCTCCACAGTAGAAATGTAGACTAATTTTCATAGTGTATCATTCAATTTGGAAAACAGGCTGAAGACTAATTTTTAATGTGATCTTATTTATGTTCTAAATAAATGATATAAGAATAAAAATTTATATAAGAATAAAAATCTTGGTGATTCAACATTCAACTATTAAATAATTATGTCAGGCTGATGGGATTAAGGAAACTTTTCCTTTTATGTGAACTGGTGAAAGCTTCAGTAGCAAATTGCTTTATCTGATTCACTTTTGCTAACTAATAATAAATTTTATCATTATAAATACCAGACAGATATTTGGCCTAAAAAATAAACCCCACTTTCCAAGCCTTGCAATTGACTGTAACATCTTATTGAATCCTTAAATCCCAGTATTTTATGTTCAAGAAACTTTTTAAAAGCCCAGGTGGTCAAAATTACATAGAAATTATGAATGTTTTAAGATATGACAAATGATGCAGAAAGTGTATAATACATCTTTATACTATATACAATTCCAAGATATACAACCTATTCAACAACTTACTAAGAAATATAGTATCTTAGATAGTGTGGAATTGAGGGAAGCTGTTGATGTTGGCATGTAGAAATTGAGATATTTATGCCCCTAACAGAAGTTTCTTTGTAAGTCTTGGGAATAAATAGCTTATGTTTCTCAATCTAACCATACTGACATGAGTCTAACTCATTATTTCTGAAATGTTCATAACAACTTAATAGAGCAAATATGTTTACTTTGTTCTTCTTCTATATGAAGATTATAGCAAAGCTTTAATTAAAATAAAAAATATTTTGACATATTCTAGTGAATGTGTGCAGTTCAGAGAATGTGTGCTTTGTATCAATGAGAAATAAAATGACTGCACAATCATTTATGAATATTTTGGCAATATGACTAAAATTAATTTACTTCATTAATGAATTGGAGGTTAGTGCTTAGGTAAATACAGTTTATAACTATGCTTACATACACATGCATGCATACAAAAAAATTTTAGTAAATAGTTTGAATTCCCTTGCCTCAATTTTTAATATTTTCTTAAAAAACTCTTTTATGAATTGTATATGATTACTATATTGACATATATAAGCTAAAAATTTGTAAAGTTCTAAAAATAAACTGAACAAAGAAGTAAAATCAAACACAATCTTACACTCCACACTCTCACACTGTCCGTTGGTTTATATATTTCTGATATCTTTTTACATTAAATTATATATTATTTTCTCTTAAAGATTATAGTTGAAGCACATATCTAGGATTATATCATTAAAAATAATTAATGAGCATTTTCTCACATCATTTACTTGTTTGTAATTTTATTTTAATGTTATTCTTAAATGTGATTTTCATAGTTGTTTAACACTTCATCAAGTAAATATACTATACTGTATTTAAATGAAACCACTTTAATCATCATTAAATCATTTCTAATATTTAACATTATAATTTATTCAGACATAAACATTTTTACACATAAATACTTATTTCTATTTATAAGAATTCCCACAAAAATATATCTGTAGATGTCAAAAGATACCCAGACAAAGCATATGTGTACATAGAAATCTGCTGAAGTTTAGATATAGAGTGCCAAATTAGCTCTTCAAAAACAGTATAATAACTTTCAGTCTAAAAAGCAATGCATACCAGTGTTAATGGCTTTTATCCTCTCTTTCTTCCCTTGACATGCTAGGGGATTCCACTTAAAATTGATGTGCTCAGAAAGTGAGAAATGACAGGAATAGAACTTGGCAGCCGGGAGTCAGGAAGACCCCCATGATGCTTCAGCTATAAGTACTTCATGCTTTAGCTTTGAGAGCTTCTCAGTTTCAGTCTGTTTTTGTTACAGACAGTGATGGCTTACATTAGAAATATTTTAGTGTTTTTTTCCCAATTACAAAAGTGATTGTTGTTCAATTAACTCCAAAAAAATAAAAATAGAAGGAATGTATATATTATCCTCCAGTATTCTTACACTGTAATTATAATTTTATGCAAACTAAAGCACTTCATCCTTTTATTTTAAATTTAAATTTTAAACTAAAGCCTACTTTTTCCCTAATGCTAAATAGTTTTGAAAAATAATTTTTAGAATATTAATATTTAGTTGACATATTTAATCATTATTACTCCATGTTTCATTCAGTAGCAATTTGTTGTAATTATAGATGTCACTGTGTATCAAATTTATTTATATTATGAATCATTTATTTAGTTTTGATTAAGATAACTGGAATTTCTAGTTTTAAAAGTTAATACTCCTTAATATGTATATAGTTATAAATATTTCTAGATTACCTTCAATTAAATATGTGTAAGCAGAATTTGTGAGCATTTTCTCTATTATATATTTCATAAAGATGATAGTAATAAAAATAAAAATGGCTCTTTCAAAAATCTATGTAGCTAATTTAATTATTCTTTTGAGTAAAATATGCAGTGTTAATATCAATTTATGTCATTCCTGAATCAAATAATAATGCAAAACTTCTTTTATCTCAGACCATTAAACTTTTGATCACTTCAGATATTATTCCCATCTGTTTCCACCAAAGCCTGCTTCCTGTAGATGCCTAACTTCTTTCTGAAACTGTTACATCCTATGTCTTTCAGTGCAGCCCACAGTTAGGAGAAAAGTTATTTTCTCAAAGACATGGCCACCTTTTTTCTCAAATATGGGATAAGAATTATTGTTTCAATCTTGTTAAGTGGTTCAGATTCACAAGCATATACAACTGCCCTGTCATCTTCTAAACCTGTGTTAAATGAAAAATTATGTATGTTGGTGAATCTATTCATTTTCTATATGTGGCAACACCAATATTTGCTCATAAATGAAGATTTCACTTGAAATAATTTTACATGCCATTATCGATTACAAATACTGCAGAAAATAACATGCCTTTGTCCATAATTTTACCACCTAATCAACCCAATACAATTTTTCATTAAATTTCACCACTGTATTTAATTAGGACATTGTCTGAAAACAATTAGTTCACCTCATCTGGTGAATAGACAGTAAATTGAAGCATGCTATTTTTAAGCACTACAATATTTCCCTTATCTGGGAGCTCTAAAAGTTAAATAGAATATAATGTAAAATAATGAATGAACTGTGGAAACAGTTAAAAATCACATGCATTGTTAAAATTTTACTGATAATATATAGAAATATGAAATAAGTTTTTAATTTTAGCAAGATATAACCTGTACCAATTGAAAGTGAGAAGTCTGATGTCTAATATCTTAAATAAAAATACTCCCTTTGTGTATCCTAGATTTTCAACCATTCATCGAGAATGAATGAAATCACTAGTTTTATTGCTGTTTATGCTAAAACTAGAAGTGAAATGAGTTCAATTTAAAGTTTATTGCCCTCTTGTCCTTGTCAAAAGTTCACTGAGGTTTCATATCATAATCAGTGTTTCTATTCAAACAAGGGAATATGATAAAGATCATGGTAGTACAGAAAGAGTATTACTTTGGATTGAAAATGATTATTCTTCCCTGCTTTGTTAAATTCCCTTACCTGTGGTTGTATATCTGCTGCAGGTTGATGGAAAACAAATTGAAGTACTGATAGCCCCTCATAAAGATACTCAAGTCCCTTGATATTGATTTGGAATTCACTGGTTGTCTACCATGTTCTGACTGGTACTGGGATTATGTACCTAGAATCAAGGCCAAACTTAATATGCTCACTGTTATGAAATAATCCTTTGTATATTAATGGAAAATATCTTGATTCTCATAACTGTAACTATATAACTATAAAAGGCAGTCTATGCTCTTATATGTGAAATGTTCGGAGTTATCCCCCATTCCAGATGTGTCCTGGTAGAGAGAACGTGAGCAGGGAACTTACAAATGTTTGAAGTAAAATTCAAAGGTTGTTATAATGGCTT